TTTTTTTCGGTCCTTCGGGCCTCAGTTTGATCTAAAAATAAGGGGAGGTGGCAGGACCCCCGGGGACCCTCCCCTGGTTCCGCCAGAAAGTCATGGCTTGAAATGATAATCAAAGGCTCTATTTCATTTCTTTTCAGAATAATTGCGTAAACATATTTTACCTTTCCAGTTCTTACCTCGGATCTGGTAGCTAGGGTCACATGTTGAAATTCCATTGTCAATGGGCCGGCTACGACTGCGGGTTTGGAAACAACTTCTGGAATTGCTCAGACCTGAACAAAAAGGTTCTTAAAACAGATTATCAAAGCAACAGTTTTAACATGGCAGTTGAAAATGAACTTTAAAGTATGCAGCTTCTCTCTGACACTCTGGCGTTTGAATCTCATTAATATTTCATATCGATTTGCTTTTGAAGCAATGTTCATGGGTTGGAATCCCACTGGAAAATAGTATTTGGAAAATAGTTACGAGTTTTGATGCAGTAGAGGCATAATTCACTTTAAAACACTTTTCTTAAACGACCCTTGTTTGGGTAAGTTTGTTTATCCTCTTGAAGACGAAGGTTTTCCTATGTTCTGGTACTTACAGGTTGCACATCACTGCTGATGGGCCACGTCACGGCTGGACGTCTTCGACCTAAATAAAATATTTCTTAAAAGCAAAATCAATAACATCAAAACACAAGCTTTGTTACGCACTTGGAAACTAATCGCAAACTCTATTTCGTTTAAAAGGGCTTGGAATTGCTAGACTACTATCAGCTATCATCAAACAGATTCGAATTCACCAAGTGTCGTTTTGGATCCCAAGTCTTGAAAACTGCATTCTTTGGTACATTAGGAGCACCAGTAAATAAACAAATGTCGTAGGTTTGAATCCCACTGGGAACGAATAAATTCTAGTATCATTCGAGGATAAGTGCATGAATCAGCACAATCAGATTTAAACGTACTCACGTTCCGTTTCATTCTTCCTTGCCTCTTAGACGCTGCTGTCGAACGCTAACTTCATGCACTAAATCTGAAACCCGAAAAGAGATAATCTAACAGTTAGAACATAAACAGATACCTGTCTTGCCTGTAGAACTTTGGGTTGTTTTCCAGTCGTAATCAGCGTCGATATGCATTTCTTCAGGAACGCAGCCAGAGGAAAAAAACTTCCAAATGAGCCTCTAGAGAGCATACGTCACGTGCATTCAGTTTGCTGTGGTCGGTCGTCAGAGGGCGCGCCCAAAGAGACGTATTCGAGGCGGCGATGTTCGAGCCAAAAAAAGATTTAAAAGACGATGTCCGATGTTCCTGAAATGAAACTTTTTAAGTTATTTATTATCGGTTTAAAAAAAAAAATACAACGGTGAAGCGGCATTGTGTTGATCATATTTTATTTTTTTCCTGAGAAGCAACTCCGTTACAACATCATCTAACTTATCCGAATTATTTAGTGCTGGTTTAATTAACAAAAAAAAAATAAAAAGAAAAACAAACAAACAAACAAGCTGATGATATACCTTTCGTTTGTTAAACTTTATTATTCATCAACTTTTAATTACGTACAATTCAGCCACATTAACCTTAAGTTCCTTCCCTTCCTTCAGCACCTCACGGACGACTTTCAAATAGGTAATTCCATGCGTTTCTTCAAGAACGCATCCAAAACGCAGTACGGTGGTCGGAAAAAAGTCATCTTGAAAGGGCGCGCCCAAAACGTGTGCGTCCATTCACCCTTGAAAAAAGTGGCGGAGGAGTCCAATAAAGATAAACTTATTGATTTCAGACGCACCTGAAATTAAATGAGTTAGTTGTTTGTGTTTTCATAGCGAACACACTGATGCGACACTCAAATGTCACTCCATGTGAGTAGTTTAAAGACATCACGCTCACAACTCAGTGTTTTATATCTGTTTTATTTTTTTTGCCTTAATTACAACAAGTATTTTGTAATCTCGCTGCAAATCAAATCATGATTAGTATTTATAATTAGTTAAAAGACATCACACTCACAACTCAGTGTTTTAGTTTTGTTTTATTTTTTTTCTGTCTTTATTACAACAAGTATTTTGTAATCAGCCCTGCAAATCAAATCATCATTAGTACTTATAATTAATTACTCTAAAGATTTAGCTTTAAAGTAAAAGAAAAAACCACACAGACAACACATCAGATTCAGTGTTTTTTATTAAATTGAGTTGGCTGTTTACAGAAATTAAGTAGTCTATTTATAGATGGGGTGCGCTTCTTAGAATTTGACGTCCGAGAAGACCGAGGAGTGTGACATGTGTCCATAAAACCTTGACACCTCGAATGAAACACACCAGGGTCCCTCAGACGGTACGCAGGGATAATTGGCGGCTTGCTATGGAGACTTTGTCTATACCAAGCCTTCACAATATTTGAAGCCGAATCCGAAATAAGATCGAAAGTCGAGTCGAAAACCGGAAAAAGACGAATGGACCGAACCGAAAATCTAATCTCCTAAAAAAATAATAAAAAATCCACATACCTTGTGCCACATTGGATTATTACTTGGACTGATTGATGTGGTACAATGTTTGCATAAGCTACGAAGCTTAGCTTTTTACGAACAAAGTATTACTAGGAAATTCAATGAGACAATAACGAGTCAGCTTTGCGCAAACTTTGTACCAGCATAAATCAGCCCTACCTTATATAGGCTGCTGTACACCGTCATGTTCCTCCACCAAAAGACCAGAGAGACTGTGGTCCACAATCCAAAAAAGGCGTAGGTAGCGGGAAAAAAGAAGAAGTCGTAGAAGTCCATGATGACGTGAAGTTGTTCAAAGGTGAAGTTCGGCCGGCCAATTAAATTTAATTATAACATGTTGGTGGCTGTCTCAACTAACATTGGACTACGCGACATTAAGAAGTGCGGAACAAGGGATCAGACATCAAAAAAATTCAACTAATTTCAGAATTATGGCGACTTTTATGAAAAATTGAAAAGAGGGGGGTGTTGGGGGGATGGATATAGACCCTTACGGATATCAACGTTAGTTAAGACAGCTCATTAAAGTTATTGTTATATGCTGTCTCCTCTGTCTTTACCTTGCCTTCCTAATGATGAAGTCGTTTTCACTATGATGTCTTCGGCGTCTGTTTGCAACATAGCCAATTTACATTTTAGCGTGGTTTTCTTCAGTTCAATTATGACCCTTAACCAAACGCAAATATAATGACCTTAGTAGAAGCAGAATGACGTGTTAGTTCAAACGATCATCATCATCATAGTCGACGTCATCATCATCATCATCATCATTGGCTGGTTTAGTCCTATATGTTTCTCCTTGTCAATTCATCGCCGCAAAGGCAGCTACCTCGCCTACTTAATTAACTGGACTATCTTTCTGTACATCTGGAGGCTCTTTGTTCTTCTTTCTTCGGCCGGCCTCTTTCCTTGATGTAGCAATGGACCCACAATTCAATCACATACAGTAGGATCAAAAGCATTTTTATTCACTTTTCAAAAAGCAACTATTTCTTGTTACAAGATTCAGGGAAAAAAGTAAATAGACAGCCTGCTGCTTTAGGATTCACTCCCAGTCATGAAGTATTTCAAGAGCTGTCGGGGGTAGAGCACTGCAGGCCAATCTCGGATGAGGACTAAGATCGAAACCAATAGCCACGAACGGTCGACGTGAAGACTACGTACGCCTACCATTTGTAGACGACCTGTGCCTGCGTTCTGCAATGCAGGGCTTCCTAAGAAGAAAACTCTCCAGCAAGGCAAAATTAACAAGAAGACAAACTAAACTGTCCTAATGTCAAAGATGCCACATCAGAGTATCCTCTCCTGCTACTTACTGAAAGACTATCTATAACCTGCGAGGCTTTCACCTGAATGCCATTCAGGGGCACGCATATCAAGGTATGGTGAGCCTCCACATGTGTGTCCCCGAAATATTCGGCCGGTTAGCATTCTCGTAATTACTTCGCAGGCTACTAACTTTGCCTAAAAGCCGATCGCCTTGTTCGTGCTCCTCCAGTGATGAAACTGCGTCGTAGATTGGTCTCGAAGACGTCCTACGCTTACGATTTGTAAACGATCTAGCCTGTGGTGTGTGGATTGTCCCATGTTGCCCTGGTAACCTGCAACAAGGTGTTGGCTCTTCGTGGGAAGAAACGCCAGGTCGAAAATTACCTTCTTTGTAAGACTAAACCTGTCAACTGATCTACCCTCACAAGTTCGAAGTCTGAAAATCAACGCGCATAAAAAATTTTCGCTTCGCATTCGTACTGTTTAACTTGAAAAAAAGTCAAATTGGAATAGGCAAGAGCAGACTCGAATTTGCGAGACTAACCTGACTATCTACCTGTAACCAGAGAGTCCATTGAGCCTGCAAGTGGAGGCCAAATGAGGTCCTCTCACTGTAGCTAAATGGTCTTACGTCTCAAGTTTACTAAGTTACGTCTTAAAATAATCACTGTCTGGTTGAACCTTGCGAGTGATTGCTTCACTTGCCTAGCGCAATGACTATGAAGTGAAGTGTGATGAATTGAATTTGGCGCAACTAAGCGGGAGACTGCAGTGACGATGACGACGACGGAAACCAGGCGGTGAGTCCATCCGAAAAAGGCGAAAAAAACGCAGCCGAACAGTTTCCTAGAAGCCAAGCCGAACCTAAAAGCCGATTCCTAAATGCCGAACTTATGTCGCTGACCGAACACCTGCAAAGGAACCCAACCTATAGAAAAGGGCAGGGGAGGCCCTTACCATCCCGGGGAACCCCACTAACTAATCTAACTACAGTTAAGTTAAGCCGAAAAAGATGTCCGAAAACGTCAGGCCGAACGTGTGTGGAAAGTATGCTTTACAAGGTTCATCCAGAGCTCTATATACCCCCCTTGACCCAACCCACAAACAATGCACCTGACCTGTATCATTTCAAGAGGCTGGGTGTGCTGTGCTGATTTGAAGTGGAACAGTCAAGGATGGTAGTCTGTTGGGCTGATCTGGTGGTCTGGTGTGGCGGTGGTTGTCTGATCTCATTGGCTGATTTTGGTGCTCTGGTCTGAAGATGGTCTGGATCTGAGACTCCTCTGATTGTCTGGTGTGGTGGTCTGATCTGGGGCGGATCTTAAGGGCTGCTGTGGTGGTCTGGTTTTATGGTCTAATCTGGAGGTCTGCCTGAGAAAGATGGTCTGGTCTGACGGCTAAAAATTAAAAAGAAGAGAAGCTGGGGAAATAGTAATGAAAAGGCTCTTATCGTTTCAGAGAGCTACGTAAAGAGAAACGGAGGAAAAATACGGTAATACTTAATTTTTCAAATTCAGCTGTAATTGAAAACTCTCATGCCCTGAAATGGTTTGCAAAGACTCAATCAAACTATATAATACAGGGGCTGTGCTGACGATCTTTACGAATCTTTTCCATTTGTAGAATGAATCGTAAATTGTAATGTTCATCACTATGGTAACAATCCAGGCTAGGCCGCAATATATTCGCGCGACAGATCGCCCGTGATGCAGTGACATCATATGAGGTTGGTTTTTATCAGAGGGCAGTTAATCTGAAAACTGGCCAAATATAATGAAAACTATCTGACTTGTGCAAAAACTGATCACAATTTTACAACTTGATGTCAATTTAAAAGTCATTCCTGATCCCAATCTATTTAATCGTCAGTTGTCTAATTGTTCATCGTATGTAACTGTTTAAAATCATTTTAAACTATAAATTGCATGTATATCTCGTCGATTCACTCATTTAACTACGGTTCGTTTTTTACACGACCCTGTTTGAGTGTAACAATCCAACGCAAGACAGAGCAAGACCTTAACAAATTTCAGATAATCAAGCCTGATTATAGTAGTTGCGCTCGAGGAAGCTCAAGTAGCGAGTTTACAAAAAGAGTTGTTCGAAATTGCCCAACTAAAAACCAAGTACCAAGTACCAAGTCACGTTTTCATATCACGTTAATGCAAGGTACTTTTTCTTTATTCTTTTGAGTATAAATTTTTGTATAAAAGTTTGCGAAAAAAAAAACTTTAAACCTTCTGCAGACTTTGAGGCTTTCCGCTATAGCTATTATTAGTTGATATCATTTAAAGTAGGAACGGTGGCCGGTTTCCGTCGAGGTTATTAAACCTCATAAAAATCTCGCTGTCATGTTGAATACTGGGGAAAAAAATGAATCAAATTTGTCGTCTGTTATGGTGAATTACTGTCTGTGTCACCAATATGAATTTGGATGAAGCGCAAAATATGATTTGAGCTTCGCTTGTATTTTAGACAGCCACGTGTTCGACCATGTACGAACTACACAGCGCTTTCAAAATTATAAACTATGAATAAATTTTGCTGAGTGAACATTTGGCTTTGTTTCTGCTCGCTATTTCTCCTCTTAGGACAAACTAGTTTAAAACAAGAACATTCAACAACGAAATAACTTAATTTTAAGTTGGACTCGTCGGAACACAAATTTCAACCGTACGGACGATAAATTTAACAAGTATATAAGTATAATTCACCTCGTGGGCTGGTTTTAACATCCCAGACTTCTTCGTTCACAGTTAGCTTTCTTTGAGAAGCTGAGAAAGACAGCTAGGCAGTTTAAAAGAGAGGCTCTTGACAGTTTCTCCTTCGTGAGCAACCTTCGCCAGCTCTCACAACTGAAGTTTCCAATTTTTGAATGTGGCGCGGAGCAACGTCATGTTTGATTTGAATAATAATTTCTGATTGGAGTTTGTTACTGCACGTGTCTATGTAGCAAGAACAAGGATTGTTTACGACAAACACCTCTGGGCAAGCCATTTGGGACTTGTAAGGTTAATTAATTAACATTTCAAATAAATTCTTTAAAAAGGTCTTCGGGGAATAAACCATGTAAGGCGAAAAACTTTTTAATTTATTTGGTAGGAAAGGAAAAACTTGCCAAGTCGTGACATTTTGCTGCTGTTTGGACCTTGTAAATGAAACTTGACAAATGTTTGCTTGGCAAAATGATAAAGATAAAGATTTCCCATTTTAATGCAGGAGTTTACGGTTTTTTGATGCAGCTCAACGTAAAACTTTAGCCAAGGTTTTCAAAATTATTATAAATATAAGAAACCTCAAAGGTGAAAGCACTGACTGTGATACAACAGCGATAACGTAACAATAAGCTTACCAGAGCAGGACGGTCTCAGTTCGTTCTGTTTAATAAACTTTCTTTTCTCCGTATGACTAAGTTATCGCTGTCAACGAGGCGTGTGCTTCGCATTTTTAGCGCTAATCAATACTGGAAGCGAAGATTTTCATAATAAGGTATCGTCTGTTTTTTGTTAACCAATCAAAAAACAAGCATTTGCACGTGGACGTAAAGTTTTGTGAACTGCATGTTAAACCCTTTTTTAATTCGACATAGCCAGAATTTCAGGAAGATTAACCAGGAAGGTCCTGTCAAACAGATAAGGTGTTTGCAAAACTCATGACAGGAACGGCAACGACACGACTCAGACTGAAAAATCATTCTGTCAAATCTAACGACCAAAACAACAACTTTGCACGTGCATCACACGTTTTGATATATTTCTTGCATGTCCACTGCACACAAACAATAAATCCGACATTTTCAGTTGAGAGGAAGTTTTCAGTTTAATGGGCACCTCCTCATTGGGCGAATACGAGAAATGCCGCTAGATAAAAAAAAATAAGTCCTTGTCCTGCACACAGGGTAGTTATCTTAGGGTTTTTTGGTCCTCACCAATTTCAAAGTTTCAAATCCTCAGCAGAAACGCTGTGCCTAAACTTCGGTCAGGTACCCCATCCCTGGATCTCTTACCAACAAAATCCCAATCTTTATTATTCCTGGGCCAAGAACACGAAAAAAACTAAACTAGACTACCACCATGGAAAAATACTGCTGAAGAGGTTTTATTATATTTGAGGATTTTGAAGGACAAGACAGGACAAGACAAGACTAGACATTTATTATCGTAACATTACAAGTACGATTGTTTGGAACGCAGTTAGCAAGAAAACGCTAGTCGAGGCGTGCCAAATTAATTCTATTACAAATCAGATATTATATTATAATAAGTAAAAAGCAAAGAAAAAGGAAAGAAGAAATATGTGCACTGAATTCAAAAGCAAGAAAGACATCGGTTTCTTCCGCTTTGCTTTAGGTTTTAGTAATAGAAATTTAACAGAGATTTACACCGAACTAGAGCTCAAAAATAGCGTGACCTACTCGCTCGAAGGCCATGAAACACTCAAAAGCCAAAAGTGTGTCTTAAACAGTATAAGATTCTGGGACACTCCCCACCTACCTCTACCCTAACCCGGAGTTAACACAGCAGGTCGTCGAATTGATCGTCCTTCATTTAATTCTTCACTCCGCAGTTCATATATGTGATTTTTATATATTCAAAACTTCATCATCATCATCCTTTCACGGGTTTATAACGAGCCAATTCAACGACCTGCCCACAATCGGCTCGTTAGCTTAATTGATAGAGCGCTGCACCGGTATCGCAGAGGTTAAGGGTTCGCTGAATCAGGCATGACCCACACTATGCCCAGCAGCTTTAGATGCTGAGGGTCCTTAGTAATATGTTTTCTGTGCATATAACTGCATCTTTGTAAAGCAAGCTTGTAAACCTCCAAAACTTCACGCTTATCTCAAGTTTCCGAAAGAAATAATAATCGGCAAGTAAGCATTGATGAAAGCTTACCTTTCTTCTTTAGGCTCGCTTATGGCAAGCGTGTAAACCAGAGGTCATCAAATGTTTGAAAAGTTTTTAAAAGACTTTACTAGTACTAACAAAAAATCCTTACCAAAAAACTTTACCAGCGATAGTTAAATGATAAACATGTTTACATATAATTACGATATATAATAATAAATGGAAAAAAACGGGCAAAAAATTATCATGACTTCTTCGCGAGAATTGACTTTTATTAATAGTATGAATTCTCCGTTTGTAAACCCGTTGAGTTTTGCCGCTTAAATCAATATATATTTTATATTACTTACTGGCTCGTATTTCTAACTGATTGTTTTCAGTGGTTAAATAAATAAATAAATATAATTCTTTACAGCAACCGACAACAGTTCAAAACTCGCGGAAAAATGTTAAAATTTTGGATCGACCCAGTTATTGTACAAGACGCGTCGGGGTATGCCCCTCTTCACTTTGTGCTGGCCACTTGAAATGTTCGTGGCACTATTTACACCATCTTTAGCAGCCGTTGTTGGACTTTGGTTCCCTACTTTCTCAAATTTGATGGTGGCCACTGCATTTCCACTTTCAGCGGTGTGACTGGACTGATCTTGATGGTCCAAACTCATAAACACCTCCGATGGTATGAAGCCAGGAGGGAGAGGAACACATCGATAATGTGGCCCTCGTGTCTTCTGTACCACTGATATGTGGCCGTTCTCCTCTACTTCTTCTTCGGGTCCATTTTTGAAAGGAACAACAGCCGATAAAGATGGTGGTGACCGTCGCGAGATTGAAAGCGTCCTTCGCAAGCGGTTGAATACTCCATCTCGACTACGTGATTGCCTATTCTCACCTCCGCCTCCAGCTAATGTTGGAGAATCTTCATTATTTACCCCAAGGTGGCTCCTGCCTACAGAGTTCTCAGCCAATTCAAAAAAATCATTTGGCTGCCTGGAAACAAATCTATTTGCACTGGCTCTTTTCATCTTGCAAGAGCAGAACGGAGTGTTACATCTGAGAGATATATATACAGTGGCGCTAACGGTTATTGCGAAATTTTTAATTAGGTAATTTGTTTCCCTAATTACTGCATAATTGGAGCTATTCGAGGTCTTTATCCCCTTAGATTCCTCCAAGATGATGCTACTCAATAGAATACTGACATTTAAAATGCATCTCTGATGCCAGTCTAATAGGATAAGAAAAACATTTCCGGAATTCCTCTTACTTGTAGCTTACCGTGTACAAATTGGTGAAGTAGACCTTTGTTCAGTTTCAGTGAAAATTAGTGCATTGTCTTTGACGCGTCTTGTCGGCGTGTTAAGACTAATTAGACCTATTAGAAAATTGCCATGATGTCTCCTCAAATAAAAGAATGTCCCCGAAATATCACGTGTTTTTGACGAGCCTCTATTGATTTACGAACAATTAATCTAGTTGTCTAATTACATTTTCATATTAAGTAGTCAATTAGAGGACTTGGAAGTTTTCCTGGGCTAATTAGCGGAGGTAATTATCGATTTCAAACGACATTATGATCAGTCGAGTGTTAAATTGCTGCACATTTCAGTTTAAGCGATAGAATGATTTGTATCATCAAAGCGAAACTGATTCCCAACATGATTCATCCCTGAGCTAAAACACGATGCCATGGCACAAATAAAAATTTTCCAAAGTGGGAACACACAAAACATTTTTTTTTTTCACAAAAATTGTAATCAGTATTTAATGGGAGTATTGCCACAAAGAAGTGGTATCAAGGCCGGCTATCCTCGAAATGTTTAAACGCACTATACCTACTTTACTTGTTCGTTTCAACGCTAAATGGATTTCAATTACGACACAATTTTGAAATTGGATCTGAATTGAAAATTGATTGATAATGTCAAGGTAAAGAATCACAAAATGAAAAATTAGGAGTGCCAACTACCCTCCCTTCCCAGAAGGATTTTGGATATTTGTTTTTCGATGAAACAAAGATGTTGTTGTTTTTCCACCAGGATTTGGTTGTTTTGCATCAATTTCGATCACGTTCCTGAAAAATTTAACCTTCACTTTGCTTCTCTCGTCACTAAGATTGGAGTTGATTGGCATGGCATAAATAACAGTCTATCCAAAACTACTGAAGATGGGGATAGTAGATAGAACTCTCAGCCAACAATTCAAGCAGTTCAACAAACTTGGAACGAAGCTGACTTTCTTCGGAATTGCAAAGATGAAAACGAAGAGCCTGCAGATCTAGGGTGCCTTATAGTTGTTTCAGGGACGTGTCAACCTAGCCTCCACCAGCAACCAGAGATGCACGAAATCCTGTACAAAAGATGTCGATGGTTTGACGAAGATCCTCAACCTGCTGATCTGTCTTCATCGACCTCTTCACACCAGCGCAAGAGATCAAGAACTTCCCCCAAACAACTCTTCCAAGAAGCGCAAATTGCGCAAAAAGGTTTTACCTACCACTGTTTCCCCTTTGATGGAAGTTGAAAGCGACTTTGGTCCATCACAGACACCAGCTGCCTCAAATAACGCTACGCAAGTTATAGTACAGGTTAGCTTTCCACCCAACCTCGTCCCGAGGGAAAAGCGCCCTGGGGACGAGGTTGCTTTCCACCCGGATACGTTCCCTCTAACGCGATTGTTCACATCAACAGAAAGCTGGAATTGCAACCAGTCGCAGAAGTGACTGCTGACTCTCACAAAGCCTGGAACCATCTCAAGCTCCTCACAAGGTGCGTTTCAACGACTTGCTGCCCTCCGATTCAGTTGGAAGATCTTGAACATCTTGAAGGGAATAGGGATGTTTTCTGCTAAATCTTCTGCTTGATCAAGAACAGTGATCAAGCCGCGTCTAGTAGATGCAGAAGTTACCTCAGGCCCAAAAGTACCCTCCAGAAACAAATCCTGGCTGCATAAATCTTTAGCCCAAAAGTCATTGGGTTCTTCGTCAGCTGATGAAGAATTCAATGAATTTTGAGTCAAAAATTTAAGCAGCCAAGATGTTCAAGATCTTTCAACAGAATCGGAGGGAGGCTAGTCGTTGAAAAGCAACTTGTGAGGAGCTTGAGATGGTGACAGGCTTTGTAAAAGTTTTAACGGTGCAAAATTTAGTTTGTGGCACCTCCGAAACAGACTCAAGGAAAATCTACATACAAAGAAGCAATAAAAGAGCATTATTTCTGGAGGATAAGTCATCAAGAATGCAAAATCTGAGGTGGTTAATGCTATAAAACTTATTGACCCTGAAAAACCATCGAGCCACCTTAAAACAGCAAAATTTACTCAGAGCTTTTTCGACTAACTTTCTCTCCACAAAATATCTTTTCTCAATCTGAATAACATAATAATCTCATATTATAACGTAAGAAAAGTGAAATTGTTAAAATTCTATCTGTTGATACAGGAACAAAGTGTGACTACTTTTGATTCCGAAGGGATTGCATTCTGTCAGTACTAGGGCTTAGTGCATAATCGGGTACTGTATCTCAAAGAATCTAACTTATTATTTGATGCAACGACCAATATGTAATTGGACAGCCCAAATCATTATATCCCCCCTTGTTTGAAGAGGTTTTATTAACAAAGAAGCAAATGCGATTTGGTGAAAAAAAATTTCCTAGCAGGTTTTTTTCTGAAAACATTTGATCACTCCACCCTTTTAAATAATTAGAACTCTATGGTCTGTAGTCCAGTATCGGTCCAGGGGCCCGTTTCTCGAAAGTCCCGATAATTAACAGGCCCGGTAAGCTGTTGCCGTTTACATTAAAGACCGGGGTTTCAGTAGTTTTGCATCTAACATGATAAAACTTCAGTTCATGAAACAAAATGGCGTAGTTTTTTAGCCACGACCCGCGCTCTTACTCTTGTTATTTCTACTTGAATATTTTATTTCGTGCCCGGAAAGTTACCGGGCCTTTCGAGAAACGGGCCCCAGGTCACTGGGAAGTCTTCAAGCAAAAAAGAACTTGTTTCATGTTGTTTGTCCATTCAATATCCCCATTGGTTTTCATACTTATAGAAAAACGTGTATCGTGGAACCTCGCGATGCTCGGGGGAGGAGGGCCGTAAAATGTTTAAAGGATGGGAGAGAGGGAGAGAAATAGAGTAAATTGTGTAACTGGGGAGGGCGGGTTTCAACAGCGGCTGTAATATTGGAAGCAGAGATATATCCTATCTCCTTTTGGTTGGTGCCACGGTAAACTCGAACTGAGTACCCTGGCTTTAAAAAAGATATGGGATTTTAAAATGGGGTTGATATTATTAAGGCAGCGAAGCCAAAGTTGTGCAGGTCTCGTTTTCACCCTATTTGACCCTCCTTCATGTGTAGTTATTGTCAAAGGAAGTAGGTGTGACCCTGGATGAGTGCAGGCAGAAGCGGATCCAGGGGGGGTCCAGGGGGTCTGGATCCTAACTATCAGACCTAACGCTTGTTTGAGACAGGATCGTATTGGTGTTCATATAACATATCTCAATGATCTTCCAAATTGCAAATAAGATGCAGAATGTATATTTTCGCCAAATCTTCTGGCATTTTATATAAAAACTACAATCCTAAAGTTTCCAAAAAGAAGATCAAACCTTACCTTTCCTTTTCGTGCTCAGAAACAGGAAACAGATGGCAATTATTTAAACTAATTGATTTTTGTGAGTTATATTGATATATTTTTATATTAGTTATCTTGCATTTCTAATTGAAGATTAGAGCAAATGGACGTATAAATTAGTATAGGTAATAGCATGATTTGTAGTGATATTTGGCATAAATACAACGAGTGATATTTCGAAATTGTTATCAGTACCTCTGATGGAATCAAGCCAGGAGGGAGAGGAACACATTGATGATGTGATACTCGTGTCCTCTTTACTACTGAGATGTAATTATTCTCTAGACTATTTCTTCTTCGGATCTACGGTTGAAAGGAACAAGAACCGATAAAGATTTTGATGACTGTCGCAAGATTGAAAGCGTCCTTTGCAGGCGATTAAATACCCCATCTTGACTTCTTCATTGCCTTCTCTCGGTTCCGCCCGCCTGCGGCTAATGGTGGCCGGAGAATCTTCATTGTTCACCCAAAGGGTGACTGCTGCCCAAAGAGTTCTCGGCCATGATTCAAAACAATTACCAGAATGTCTGGAAACACAGCTATTTGAACTGCTCCTTTTTCCGAATGCAGTGTTTCAGGGAGCTACTAGCGATGTGATATACAATGGTCCTAAAGATTATAGCGAAATTTTTAATTGGGTACCCAATTTATTTCCTTAATTTCTGCCTAATGACAAGAATTCAAGGTCTTTACCAATTTAGACTCCTCCAAGATAGCGACTTTTAAAAATTCATTTAAAAGTATCTATAATGAGAGACTAATAGGATAAAAGTAACATTTGAGAAAATCCTCCTGCTTGTGACTGACTGTATACAAGTAGGCAATTTTCACGATTACGGCAGTAGATCAAAACAACCAAAATTGATTTCGTTGATTGGTCTTTTATTTAAATTTACCAATTCTACTGAGATTTATAAAAAAAAGATCCCCAACTGAAGGATTCTGGTAATTGAAGTCAAATAACTTTATCGTGCAAATTTATAGCCTGCGTAGCAGGCGCTTGGAAGTATCGGGCGAAAGAGAGAACGGGCGCGCGCGAGGGAGTCCTTCCCGCGCGCAAGTTTTTTCTTGTGCCCACTACTTCCAAGCGCCTGCTACGCAGGCTAGCAAATTTACAATTTGTGAAGTAGAGCCTTTCAGTTTGAGTGAAAATCGGTACATTCTCTTTGACGAGTCTTGTCTGCATTTTCGATCAGGTTTGCGGTTCAAGACTTATCGGACCCAAATATCTCGTGTTTTGAAAAACTTCCATTGGTTTACGAACAACCTAGTTTTCAAATTACATTTGCATAGGCGGTAATCAATTAGGTGACTTGGAATGAGTTTTCCTGAGTTAATTAGCAGAACTAATTATCGATTTAAAACAACATCATGATCAGTTGAGTGTTCAATTGCTTGACATGTGGGCTGAAGAGATGGATTTTCATATGAAGTAGTCAATTAGAGAACTTGGACGTTTTCCTGGGCTAATTAGCGGAGGTAATTATCGCTGGGATTTCAAACAACATTAAGATCAGTCGAGTGTTAAATTGCTGCACATTTCAGTTTAAGCGATAGAATGATTTGTATCATCAAAGCGAAACTGATTCCTAATATGATTCGTCCCTGAGCAAAAAGACGATGCCACGGCATCAATAAAAATCTTCCAATGTGGGATAATACAGTACTCTTTTTGCATATGAAGTGTAATCCGGAAGTAACTATTAGGACAATTGCACGATGACGATATTTGACTACAACTACCAGAATTCATTTCGGTTTTGCTTTGTTATTTAAATTTGTCAATCCCGCTGAGGATTAAAGAACAATAGCCTTAATTTGCACATGAAAAAAACAAACAAACGGAAGGATTCTGGTAGTAGTAGTAAAATGACGTCATCGTGCAATTGTCCTATTAGCTGGATATTACCACAAATTAGTATTATTGAGGCCGGCTTGTTTTGAAAGTTTAAATGCACTATTGGTACCCTCATAAAGGGGTATAGTTACCTTATCCAAATCAACGCTAAATGGACTTCATATCCAAGAATCTTTGCCTAGAAATCGAATTAAGCCTTAGTAAGGTCTCAATTGAAAATTGATTGCTCAATTGGTTTAGATAAAGAAACACAGACTGAATGTTAGGAGTGTTCACCACCCACTCCTCCCCCACCCCCCAGACGGATTCAATATTTGTTTTTGCGATCAAGCAGAGAAGTTTTTGCGTTTTTCTCACGCTTTGGATGTTTTGCATCATTTCGATGTTCCTGACCAACTTAGTCTTCATTTTGCTTCGCTCGTCGCTAACTTTGGAGTTGCTTGACATGGCAGGCATTCATAACGGTCTCTCCACACCCCTTGAAGAAGGACAGCAATTCTAGCAGTTCAACAAACTTGGAACAAAGCTGACTCGCTTTGGAATTGCAAAGATCAGGTCGAAGAGCCTGAAGATCTTGAGTACCATATAGTTGTTTCTTCGCAGTGTCAACCTGGCCTTAACCAGCACCCAGAGTTGTGCGAAATGCTGCACAAAAGGTGTCGATGGTTTGACGAGGTAGAAATGCCTCAACCCTCTGAAACATCTACATCGACCTCTTCACATCAGCACAACCAATTAAGAATTTTACCTATCACTGCTTCTCCTTTGATGGATGATGAAAGCGACTGTGATCCACCACAGACACAAGCTGACTCATCAACTGGGCCTAAGGTAACTTCTACATCTACTAGTCGCGGCTTGATCACTGTTCTTGATCAAGCAGAAAACGTCCCTCTTCCCTGCAAGATGTTCAAGATATTTCTACAGAATCCGAAGGTGGTGAGTCGTCGAAATGCAACTTGTGAGGAGCTTGAGATGGTGACAGGTTTTGTGAAAGTTAACGGTTCAAAATTTAGTCTGTGGCACCTCCGGAACGAACTCAGGGAAAGTCTCCAAGCAAAGAAGAAATAGAGTACGATTACCTCTGAAGGGGCACTTACCGAAGAATGCAAAAAGAGGCCATCATTCTGCCTCTTTTTATTCCGGTTATTGAATTCCACTGTGTTTTGGGGTTTATAACTAGGCCGTTCCTTTACTAAAAACAGCAAAATTCACCAGAACTTCACAAAGCAGCGTGTATATTTATCTCCGTGGTCAGTGCGAAGCAAAAAGCCCTGGAAACGACACAGGATTGAAAGATAAAAAAAGAATAAGGTAAAAGAAGCGTTAATTTCAAATGTTTCAGTTCAACTTTTATTGCCTGAAGAAAATGTTTTTTGACTTACAAAGAAAGATGACCCTGTCATTCCATCTAATTTTAAAAACCAACTAGAACAATCCCTTATGTCAGTCCCAGCAACTTAAAATGAATAAATAAACATGATGCATTCAGTTCGTTATTTCTTCTTTACAAATGGGGTCTTAAAATCGTTTTCTTAGCACTCGGATGAAAGTCATTTCTTGTTGGGCCGAACTCTCTTTGCCCCCTGCAGAATGCATTCCTTTTGCCAAAACACTCGTGATCGTTGCTTTCATGCTGAATGGTCAAACGGCGACCTTGTGTTCCTGGCATGGATTCATCTTCATTATCACAACTCCACCGCTTCTTGGTTTCTTGGCTTCTTGACGTTCAAACCTCAATAGACTTAATCATCTTACATTCTGGCAGATATTTTTATCCATCTGTTAGCAAAAGACTTTAATTTACTGACATTCAAACCTCAACAGACTTTATCATCGTAATTTTTTGGCAGATATTTGTATCCATCTCTGTCGAATTTAACTCAGTCCAATAAACTAGCTGTTGCGGCAAACAAAACTAAAAAATAAAAAGCTGTTTAGTTAACTTTTAAAATGTATTCTAATGTATTTATAATTTATGAATTGAGCTTGGCACGGCAGTAGGACGAATTGGTTTCAAACAGGCTGTCAAACGTCGCGCTACTGCCTTGCTAAAGTCGAATTAATTCGATCAATTTAGTTCGGCACGGCAGTAGCACGACGCTTGAACGGGCCCGTTTCAAAACGTCATGCTACTGCTTTGCCGTGCTACACGGCAGTAGCTCAACTTGGTTTCAAACATCGCGCTACTGTGGTGCCGAGCTCAATTCATAAATTATAAATTCATTAGCACACATTTCAAAGTTTGGTAAACTGTTTCTTTATTTTTGTGCTTTGTTTTCGGAAACAGCCGTTCTATTTCGACGTCTGAAACCAAGTCGTGCTAGCACGTTTTTAGTCACATGACAGAGCACTTTCGTTCGTCTCTTCCTTGATGCTGTGTATCCTGTGAGGCGGGACCAACAGAACATGAGCTGCGGTCGAAGCTGTAGGGACTAAGAAACCCTTGGAACCACAGGTAGCCCAAGGTCGAAATATGAGCATCGGCGAGCATCGGCATTGTTGCGTAACATTCAAAATATAAGGATTTGTATGGGAAAAAAACCTATCGTTTCTGTAACCTGCGAAAATGAAAGGATTTCAATAAAAAACAGCTTACCTTACTTAAAATGTGTTTTACGTCTCTCCTGTGTGGTCCACGGGCCGATTTATGGTCGTTTTATGGGTTTTTATGTAAACGGTTTTCTCTCAATATAAAGGTTAATAAGGTACCTAAACCCATAAAACGGCCATAAATTGGCCCGTGGACCACAGTTCTCCATGTAAATAATATGTTTGTACTGTAGGTGAAAAGTAAAGTGTTCTTCATTCAAGTTAAAAAATGGGTCAATTCATTTTAGGATCACCTATTTAAAGCATTGATAAGGTAGATAGGTAAATAGAAAGTGACAAAGCTGGGATCGCGAAAATTATATTTTGCCCAAAAATGACTTAGATGGGGTGTATAATTGGCCACAGAATAAACTGTAATGGGATAGAGGCTCTGTTAGGCCAGCGGCACATACTCAGCAAAAATTAACCCAAGTACTTATTAAGTTTGGTTCATCTCATGAAAAGTTTGACATTTGGCATAGGCCTGAATTGCTGAGGGATTCCTGTTTATGGTCAAGACATTGATCAGCATTGTTATGTTGTTGGCAAACAATGCCAAAGAAATTTGCCAAAATTTGCAACCAAATTAGTCATAAGAATTGTTAAGAACATTTTAATCCACAGTGCTTGGTAAGAAGAGTTAGTTGAACTTTCTGAGATTATATGTTTATGGTTTTCATGAATAAATAAACCAAACCTGCGAGTTCACGACAGGATGATTACGAACTCAAACCAACAGCCGGGTAGTTTTAGTGTTAAGTCAATAAGTTCACCTGCACTTCATATAATCGCATTTCAGTTACACCTAACACAGTGAAATTATGGTTTACCTCCATGCGCGCAGAGGTCTCTCTCCTTTATGGCTTTTAGCATATACGTCTGAGTAGTTCACGTTGCTGGCAGTCGTGAAAAAGAAAATGTATGTTAGTGTGAAAAAAAGAAAAATCACATACTTCTTTCCTTCGAATGATTTCCTTCTGGCTAGATTAGTGTCCAGTAACCTCGCGATTACAATTCACAACAACAACAACAACAACAAAAATTTCACCGTCACAAAAACCGCTAAGGGTCTTCGCAATCGGAAATTATCTTTTCCCATCGTCTAAGATTGGCGATAAAAATTATTTTAAACGAGTTAGGCCTGTTTCAAACGTCGTGCTACTGCCGTTCTAAGCAGGCTCGACTTCAGCCGCGACTCTCACACGACTGAAGCACGACTTGGTTTCAGACGTCGAATTTAACTCAGTCGAATAAAATAGCTGTTGCGGAAAACAAAACTAAAAAATAAAAAGCGGTTAAGTGAACTTCAAAATGTATGCTAATGTATTTATAATTTATGAAATGAGTTTGGCACAGCAGTAGCACGTTTGAAACGGGCCTTAGTGGTTTTAGTCACATGACAGAGCACTTTCCTTCGTCTCTTCCTTGATGCAGTGTATCCTGTGAGGCGGGACCAACAGAACATGAGCTGCAGTCGAAGCTGTAGGGACTAAGAAACCCTGGGAACAATTTCATTGTACCGTAATTTGCAGATTGAAAACGATGGAGTCCAACTGCAACTTCAGTTTTCAATTTCCATTCATCGCTCTCCGCGTTATAACATTCGACCTTTAATCGTCCCGACCTTTCTCCTCTAAGGTCGCGATACCATGATCGAATTTCGCCCAGAGCATACAGTTTCTCATCAACGACAACCAAGCCTCCAAATTTTTCCGGTTCTATGTTGAAGCTTTTGATAAACTGCCATTCATTTGTTGTTTCATTGTACATTTCACACAGGCGATCATCTGGCTCCATTCGATGATGAACCTTTCCAGCAATGAATATTTTGCCATTTGCCGCTGCTCCGTGACCACTGCCTTCTCTCGCCACTTGAATCTCTGCTAGTTTATCCCATTGGTTTCTGCGTAGGTCGTACCTGTCAACATCACGTAAAAGCCTCTCTCCGCCAGGTGTGTTCCTAGACCACTCTGTTCCACCAATGAAATAAATGAAGTTGTCGTGGGTCACAATGCAATAATGCTCTCTGTTAACCAAAAACTCGGGTGATGATATGTACTCCCATGATATTGGATTCTGTGTTGTATTTTGTGACGATGATGCCACTTCTCAGGCATGGAGATCTCACAGCATACGTTTCATCATATAAACGAAGATTTCCCTCAAAAGTCCACCATTTAATGACGGTAACGACTTCCAAGTTTCAGAGTGTGGAATGTAACAGTTGATATGAAGGCTACAGGACTCCCGAAACGAATAGGTATTCTTTCGGATGATCCCATAATATACATCTCTCCCACTTTCTTTCGCCTTGTGTAGTATATTTTATCATGACAAAAGAGAACACCATCGCCACCTAGCAAAGGCCTCTTTTTATACCACCGATCTTCTCTCGGAAAATATATCATTAGCTGGTATCCTATGTCGGCGACAATTGCAGAAGCCTCTAGAGACTTCCTTGGTTTGCAATTAACACTTTTTAAAACTTTTGTGGAGTCAATTAGTTCAATAGCTTCTTTAACAAGTTCCAGACAGCATTCATTGTCTGTTACCAAATCATTTGTCACGATATCACTGCAAAGAGAGTCACGCGATATGCAAACCAGACGAACGTGACGAAATAACTCAGTGAAACAATTCTTCCGCATGTTTCTGTCGTGATTGATCCAGGCTAAAATGATATCAAATACATCTTTCTCCATCTTAACAGGTAGCTCATCACTTGAAATCAACATGATAAGTTCCTCGCTTGACATTTCCAGAACATCTTCACGGTTTGCGGCGAATAACTCGGTAAAATTTGCGAGGAGGAAATTTTTGGCCTTGGATACAAGTTCCTCGCAGCGATATTCGTAAGCAAAACGGAAAATGGAAATAGAATTTGAGGCATTCAATTTCTGCTGCAGAGCTTGCGCTGCCAGGGTCTTCAGGTTCAGAAGAAACAAATAATCAGCTATGACAACCATGTCACTGGCATCATCTTCATTCAATATCTGAACATTACCGGTGTAAATGAACCCCAATGTTTTTCTCATAACAGACTCGGTGAACATCTCCAGCCGAACTACTCCTTCATTCGACTCCTTCATATCGCTATCAAGCAGCTTTTCGAAGAAAGGACTTGCTTCTGCAAGAACGTTTCTGTGAGCTTTTAACGCGCAATCGTTGACCACCAAAGTAATAATATCGCACGGCTGATCGAGACCATCTTCAGATAAAAACACTTTACCCGGGATTTGCTGATTTGGAATAACTTGCTGAGATGTGCGCGCTAAAGGTGAAATCGATGCCATCACTTTACTAATTTCGAACTGACAGCAGCCGTCTTAGACGTTCTACTTCTATGACTCAGTGCTGAATCATTGCTGCTCTTTTCTGCTCCGGGGATTCATTTGCAACGGACGAGTGACAAACAGAGAAAAATGGGCTCTGGGGACGACAACTGACTAATTTTCCTCAGTGGAAATGGGAAGAGGAAGAGCGTGTTCCTCCAAAAACCGACAATCACAACAGGGGCACCCAACGACAGTTTTCTGTAAACTATCTGTTCGGAGAAGCAAAAATTGCCTAGAATTTTCTACACCTTGAGGAAGGCTAAAAATTTCTAGATGACTATCTAGTAAATTCCCTACGATTTTCGGAAGTTTCATTTTTCGCATTTCACTCCCCAGATTGAGCTATTTTTTGCAGAAAAAGGAAACCTAAAATTTTCGGTGGAAAGAGGAATCAGAAAAAATTTCACTCTCTTAAAACTCTTAATTGCATCTAAAATTTTCGGAAAAATAATATTGACGGCCTGGTAATTTCGAGAAGACTCGAGTTGCCCTGAATTTTATAGCGCCGCTTAGAATGTATTTCTAAAGATCTAAAGGTACTCTGGATAGCCTAAAAAGTGTTTTCAATCCATTTTGTAGCAGGAAACTGTTATTGGGTAGACTGCAAAACAGTCGGTTTTTTTCTCAAAATCAGTAAAGAAATCGGTAAAGCGTGGCGTAAGAGTCTTACGCGCGCGAAGCGCGCGAGCCTCACACGCCCTACGGGCGTGTGAGGCGAGAGAAAAAAAACGTATTTTTAGCGTCTCTCCCCAGTCTCGCTCTCTGTTTTCAGCCTCATTCCAGACCTTTTGTTGACTGCTCGCGCGTACTTGAATACGCAAAAATACGGACTGTTTTGCAGTCTAGTTATTGGGTTCCCCAGAATCACAAGTTTTTCTGGTCACGTACTGTCGCTGTGCGATGCCGGCGAAGCAATATCGCTGCGCAATATTTCTAAGGGCCTGTTTATAAGGAGAGAGGGTTACCCTTGTGCTAGGGTTACCCCTAGCAAGCGGGTTAAAGTTAGCTCTTGTTTACAGGCAAATTTCGCAGGTAGGGTTACCTTATCAGCCGGGTCAACTTTTCATGACTTTACTTTAATAAAAAAAATTGAAATCTCCCACTTAACCATGCGTGCGTTATGGGCGAAAAAATGGAAACATGAGAGTTTTCCGGGGGGTTCCGGGGGGGGGAACAGCTTCAATAGCAACTTGAAAAATCAGGCCACTCTCGACTTTTTAATACAACTTGTGCTCCAGTCGTGCTTAATCGTGCAACTGTCGAGCCGGCTTAGCACCGCAGTAGCACGTCCTTTGAACTGGCGGTTCTTTCACTTCCCCTTAGTAACCAAATGTACTCACTGAACTAACAAAATAAAACAAACCTGAACATTTCCAAAGAATTCCCACCTGGATTTCGTGCAGTCTATTTTTGTTCGTCTCTTAAAGTGTTTCGAAAAAAGTTTCTCAGAGGCTGATATTTTTCAACGCTTTAAAAGTGATTTTATCCTTGTCGGTGATCGCTATAAAATTTTCACCAATGATTGACTATAGATTGAAATTTGTCAAAACGTAGGTTTTAGTAAAATCGATATTACTATGACAACAATAAACAAAAACCTTTGAAATCGATAAACGCCTAATTTTGCGCGATCAAGACCAGCTACTGAAAATCCAACACTGGGAACTTAAAGTTTGGTGTTAAGCAAACAATCTCCGTAAGAAGTAAAAAATTCTGTATGTTTGAATTCGAATAAAACGAAAATATATTTCAACCCTTAAATTTTCAATAGCCGTGATAGATTATTAATAAAAACGTTATAAATGGCTCAAATTATTCTTAAGTAACGTCAGAATGCTGCTTAATAACATATTTTGATGCCAGGAAATTTTGGTGCATTTTCTTTCTTGCGATCTTAAAAACTAACCCGTTTTCTCACCACCTGTCTAAGTGCAACTTCATTTAAAATTTGGACTTTTAGCGCTTTTTTGTATATCTCTGAAACGACTCGAACGAATTTTTTTAAAATCTCCTCACGTGAGCTTCATAAGGTATATAATAAGGTCTGAAACTTTCATTGAGATTGATTCACTGCAACATCTTAAAATTTCAAGACAAACCTATCCTACGAGCCTGTCCAAAATCTGCGTTACAACATTCACTGTTTTGACGTTATGCTAACTTTCCCAAAAGTAATGCGCACTATACATACATACCTCCATGACTAGTACATTTCAGTTTGAATTTATCGCATCTTTTGAATGTAAAACATTGACAATACTCGCACTGAAACGTAATAGTCATGGATATATGGTTTGTCTTGAAACTGGATTGGATTTTCAGTAGCTGGCCTGGTCTAGATCACACATTTTCAAAGTTTTTTGTTTATTGTTGTCATAGTGATATCGATTTTGCTTAACACTCTTTATTTCTAAATTTCAATCCATAGCCAATTACTGGGGAAAATTTCATAGCGATCGGACAAGTAAAAAAACACTTTTAAGACGATTGAAAAATATCGGTATGGCCTCTGAAAAACTGTATCGAAACACCTTAACATCGAACTCGTTATTCACGCAATAGACTTTTATCATGGCACGCACTTCCTGACATTCAATATTTAATCAACTCTCACTTTTCATGTATTTTCACTAAACGATGTGGGAAAAGAACAAAGAAAAAAAATTAACAACAAAGATGGCAGATATAAATGCTTGATTTATTATGCATGCGAACTACATGCCATTGCTATTCGTCTTTAAGTAGTCAATTTCGACTGCCTCGTCCCTAGCTGCTGATAGAGTGCGAAAATATTTGAAAGAAAAATGTTTCAGTGCATTCTAACCACAATGCAGATCGCACCGGGAATAGACTACGAGTAGTCCCCCATTTTTCCTCAGGGATAGTAGAGTAAGCGAAACGCGAGCGAGCGTGAAAGTCACCCCACGCGAGATCTCTCTCCCCACCGCGTGTCGCCTTTTCTCGCGTGGAGTGATTTTCACGCGCTTTCGTGTTTCGCTCGCTCTACTATCCCTGAGGAAAAATGGGGGACTACTCGTAGTCTACATCGGGAACCACCTCACGACCAAGAGGGAGCGAGGGTGCCCTCTTTTGGAGATATTCCGCTCATGTTTGTAAGGGTAAAGGACGGCAGCTCTATTTTTACGGAAGGACAACTGTAATGGCAAACTTTTTCCCAGGTCTGATCAGCTCGTCACATGACAGTTGCCCATTACGTTGTAACACTGCTTAATAGCTTCTTGACAGTTGTTAAACTCCTTCCACGGGCGACAAACTAATCTTTCAAGAAGCCTAAGATGCGACTCCAGCAAAGTCAAGCTTCCTTTTACATCTGCATCATAGAGAAGTGTATCCATGGCCTGTTCATACAGTTCCTCTGAAGCTTTTAATTCAGCTTTCATCTCTGGCAAACTGTAAGTGTGCTGGCACTTGGCGCAGATAGCCAACTCTGCAGGTCTGTCTCCAATGTGGTTTGTCATTTGACCCATTAAATTTTCTGGCACGTGATCAGACACGTGACCTGTCACATGATGAAGAGGTGTTCGGCAGTCCTTACACTTGAAAACTGGAAATGTATCACTTGGAATCTCTGAATACAAAGGAAATTCTACTTCACAAGCGTTACAACGGCATGTGAAATAGTACTGATTTCTCAGTTTTTCGTGCCTCTCAGGTTTGAGGCTAAGTGCGCAAAGAGTACCGTAGTTGTCGGAGATCTCTTCACCCTTCGTAACATTCTTTATAGCGCGCACAACGCAGATATCACCATAGAAATTCCTTGTAACTGACGGGTCACAAGAATGATTGAAAAGGCTCATTGTGGCGTATATCCCAGAAGCAATTTCCTCCGTCTCCGACGTTGCAACGGAGTTGAGTTTCAGTTGCAGTTCGGAGACTTCATGAGCATTACAAGGGTTTGACTGAAGATGCCGCAAAATTAGTCCACCAATAAAGGCCAGATCTTTATCCGTGTAGGGCTCCTGGCCAAAAAAGCTTCCTCCCTGAAGTGTTTTGAGTAAGAATACTGCGACCAAGGAGCGGCGAAAAAGGTCGCTGATGCTCCTGTCTTTAGAATGAGTCACAAGGCAATATATTGGGAGGTAGTCGGATGAATTGTAAGTTCCATCTTGTCTACAACCCGCTTCCTTTCCAGCACTGTTGCAAAAGCCTTGCTGAATTTCTCGTCTAAACTTCTTGAGAAACTTGTAACCTGCTTTTGCTACGATTCTCAGAGCAAGGTGACCATTTCCACCGATGCCAGCCCGATGGATAAGATCCAGATACTGACATTCAACTGAATGACATAAATCCCAGCTGAGATCTGCGCAAGCCTCACTGCAGTACCTGACAGAGCTACACTGGCGACAAGGAAATGGGATCGTTACGCGTCTCAGGCAATGATAGCAGTGAGTTTCTAAGTGTTTGGGCAATAAAACAGAAGCAAATGGCTTTTCAATGACTAAAATGTCCCCAACACTGATGTCTTGCGTGGCTACTGGGTGACGACCAGAGTCATCGGACATTGCAATGTCAACAATACAAGAGGCTGACACAAACTTGCTATTCGGCCCACGAGTAAGTTTTGGTAATCCAATTTCACTTTTCAGGAAATGTCCATTGTTTGAACTTTCGCCACCCGTCGTCTCCCGTTTTGTAACAGTCCCCTGACTTTTGCCGATTCCTACTTCAATGTCTTTTGCACAAGTTTCCTTTTTCTTTTGATCAAGCTTCGATTCCTGTAATGCCTGTTTAGCTTTCTCCAAACACTCTAGCGCCTTACAATTTTGGCCAAGTTCCAAATAGCATTTTCCTTGACGATCAAATATCTTGTATCTTAGCTCTTTGGGATAATCATGACTTAACGCCTGTTGTACACACTGCAAGCAAGGAGTGTACTCTTTCAAATGGAACAAAACAGCAGAGATATTAGCGAAAGCGAGAGAAAGCTCTTTGCCCTCACTTTTTAACGGGGCATTAACAATGCTGCGGGAATATGCCTTTAATGCTTCCTGGTATCTCTTTTTCTGGTAAAATCTGTTTCCTTCATTGCGCAGCCTGTTAGACTCTGATGCTGACTTTGGTCTGAAGCAAGGCTTCACAGCCATAACATCGTGAATGCAGTCTAAATTTAGTACAAAAGAAACTCTTTCTTCGTCTGTCCTGAGCCTTCCAAATAGGGATGAGAGCTCTTTTAGATGGCCAGTCTGGTTCAGTTCATTACTGATCGAGTTGAACCATTCTTGAAAGAGACCGCCAGTGTCAAAACTCATCTTCTATGAGTTAAAGAAGGAAATCATCTTAGAACTTGGTTACATGGAGGTGGGGGACCCCAGACAGTGGAGGTAATGTGCGGCGGGTCACCCCACCCATCAAATTAAAAAGAGAGATTATACGAACAGGAGGGTTAACCACCCCACCCTCCCCGCATGTAGGCGAGTTACCTCACCCCCCTGGGGTCCACCCACCTCCATGTAAACAGACCCTGGAAATGTTTAATGCCATAACTAGCTGAAAATGAGTTGTTGTTAAGAATAGTTGATAACCGTGTTTTCATTCCAACAACTGAAACAAGTCGTAAGAAGAAAGCAAACTACCGGTATCTGTCCCATTTACTTGAATAAGCGCCACCTCGATTATATAAGCATCAGACTTGGGACAAACAAAAACATCAGTGCCGCCCTTGAATAAGCTCTGTGGCCCCCATGCAACCAAAATCAAAAGAATTTTCTGCTAGTTACTGAAATCAATAATGCCGGCAACTTAAAAAAAATTATTTGTTGTGTCCAACTTTCAAATAAGCGCCGCCCTCGAAAAAGTGCCGCATGTCAGTTGCAAAAAAATTTGATAAGCGCCACGGCTCTTATTTGGGTAAATACGGTAATCATAATACTTTTTGTTGATAGTCGGTAAGTCTGGGTGCTAAAGGAATTGTAGTCCTCAGTACTGGTAAAGGGGAAAATCTCAGTGGAAGATGCAGGAGGAGGGTCAAAACATCGTGCCAATTTAATTTCTAAACGATGCCCACGTTTTGAAGCAACCATATTTTTGTCCATATTATAAATCAAATTTGCTGCTGGGTTCATCACAGGCATCCCAAGCTCACGTTACGAGTCTGTTATGTAAATTAACTTTCTCACAAGAGAGTCGGTGTCACGTTACAAGCGACCATTGAGACTTTGTACGAGAAATAATATACTGAGGTCTACGGATGCTAAATATCATTATTCTTACTTATTTTTCTATAAAATAAATAAAGGAGAGTTACCTTTGATGCTTTCCTGTTGTTTGGTGTGAATTCATCGATTATTCATCGAGTTGGGTTTTTTGGCTGTTATTGTTTGACCCCTGTCACTCTCTTCATAATTCATAATATGTATAATAATAATGATATTTAGCGTTCGCAGACCTCAGTATTTTATTTCTCATACAAAGTCTCAATGGTCGCTTGTAACACGACACCGACTCTCTTGTGACAAAGTTAATTTACATAACACACTCGTAACGTGAGCTTGGGACGCCTGTGGGTTCATCCTTTTTCTGCTAACTTATACGTCAGCCACAAGTTAGTAGTTTCTATCATTGGTTCAGTGCATGGTATTCACTCTGAGGTGGTAGTGTCTGAACTGAACATGCAGAACAAAATAATAATACATATACATTTGACTAACTGTAAATGAACATTTAAAAATAAACATATACTTTATATAAAAACTACAAAACTTCAAGTACAACTTTGATATTTTGAGAGCATCAGTTTTATCCATTCATTCCTGGAAATGTTGTCAAAAAGAGCAGTTTGAAGCTAGTCGAGACGTTTTTGGGTCACAATCTGGCCCAAAGATGATGGTGAAAGTGTTTCAGTTGCCTTAAAGACATAATGCATGACATGTTATCGTTTCTTTTGTGGGTTGATTTGTGAAGTCACTGCCTTTTCAAAGTTTTAAGGCAATTGACACACTTATATACCATTGTCTTTCTCCATGGTTCCTTCTCTGAGTGTGAGAGAAGGAACCATGGAGAGAGTCACGGAGAGAGTGAGAGTCATTCCACCAAATAGGGTCACCCATCGCAAGCAACACCATGGTTATGAGCAGTTCAGCAGGGGAGAATGGGTTAGATTGTAAAATTTGTTGTAAAGTTTGTTCTGTCTCAACTACTCCCACACCTGGGCCCAGTTCCTGAAAGACCGATTAGCGTTAATCCAGTATTAAAATTTTGTTTTGTTTTTGTATTTTAAATTCCTCTGCATTGCTTAGGGTAGCATTTTGTGTTATTATTACTCTGTCTCGTAGTAAAGGCTCAACGGTATTTTGTAACCTCGAGTTGCATGTTCTTTGACGACAAAAACGTGCTTGAAATTTAGCTTAATCCTGGGTTACACTTAACTATCTTTTGAGGAACCAGGCCCAGGAGTATATCAAGATTATCAGATAGGTTCAGATGGGGTAAGTTAAACAAGATGTTGGATCTTGTGTAATAGTGGTGGATCCAGGGGAGGGACTTGTGGATGACCGGGCCCCCTCCAGTATCTATAGTGGGGGGTAGGTCATCCACGAGCCCCTCCCCTGCCTGTAAAGGGGATATTGAACACAAAGGTCCCCACATACAACAAAAGGGGTTGGTAATATACTATTACATAGATATCCAAAGAAATTCATCCAATATACCCGATTCTCGAAAGTTACCTCAAACACCCTATACTCCAAAATATTTGTTTTCAGGCGAAAAAGACCGCCTGCCCATTTGCAATAAACCCACCATTATTAACCCTGGGTGATGGCATGGTCGATCCACACTCGTGTTCTTGAGGCCTACTGCATAGCAAACGTTTGCTTTTAAATCTTTGCTGGGTTAGTTCGTGGGAGATCTGTTGAAGAGAAGGCTACATCGTTGATTACCCGGTCACTTGTTTCATGCCAATGAAAGAAATGAATTCCTCTTCTTTGACCTCAAAGGGTGAGGCTTCCCAAATGCAATACGTTATTAAGTTTAGTTACATACTTCAATGCAGAGAAAATGCATTCATTTTACCTCTAATATGCAGTCAGCAATGCGCTATGATTTGTTTTATCTCATCAGAAAGTAGCCAAACCTCGCGCTGAGCTCAAACACGAGAACAGCAACTGACTGCCTCCTTCTCGCTCCTTCCATCCGCCATGATTGCCGCGAAAGCAAAAGAAGCCTGGCACGAGGACAAGCGAGCTTTCCCTCAATCAGAATCTTTCTTTTGAGACTCTCTGATCTTTGAGAAAGGAGTTGCTATTACGTGCTATTTTCATTTCCCAAGCAGAGAAGAAAGTGTAAACCAAATTTTCCCCACTAGAAATACGGGTATCGCAGAACTTTGCGAACCTCTGGGGCGGGGACGGGGGTGTCCACAAAATGTCAGGGTAAGAATGGGGGCGAGAATTGGAGTAAATTATGTAGAGTTTGGAACCGGTTAGGGGACCCATCAGTTTAAACAAACTTTTTAGATGGTATTGATTAATGCACACACCAGTCAATTCATGCAGTACTATTCACAGGGCACAGATGGTTATACGAAAGGCTGTGAAAAAAGCACTCATTTGGGCCTGCTTTTTGTACATTCATTTGTTTTATTCCCAGTCTTGAGCCCCTTTCCCCTCCCAGTATCTGGCAACATTTCACACATTCTGATTGGTCATGATGTCCTGGTTAAGCATCTGCCATGGTCTGTACAAGTCACGCATTGACTTTGTAGAAAAAGTAAACCTACTGGCAGCCCACAAGGGAAGAGTTAACCATAGTTTTCTAGCACAAGACGACTTGGGAGTATTAATATTTATTTCCATTCGTCCCAGATCATCTGGGATGTTGGTCCAGTACCACAAGGTTACCCACAGTATTTTGTAACAAATAACCACTCATATAAGTTGTAGATCAATGCACTGGAGAGAAATAGCATGGAAAAATTTAACTAAGGCAACAAAAATACCAAGGGAAGTAAAGAAAACTATAAACCCTTTGGGCCGTGGGTCTTAAAAAGGAACAATTTTAAGGTCAATTTTTAGGTCAACTAGCTTAACCACCAGTGTTAATAAAACCAGTGATGTCCAGTCTTTGATAAAGCCACTTCCCCACACTGACGAAAAACTGGCATCAGAATAATAACTAGCAAGATATCTGGGAAAATATACATGTAAATGCAAAAACTAATAATTTACATTTGTTTACAAACAAAATATTGATCAACAGTTGAAATGACATACTCTTTTATATGAGTTATCTTGGTGTTTTTTATTTTCATGCTGCCTTTAGTGGCATTAACAACTGTCACTTGCAGTTGTTTGTTGAGGAATTGAAAAGCTGAGCTAAAATAATATGTAAGCAAACAACAGCCATACCTTAGAATTTACAATACACAACCTACCACAAAACTAGTTACTGAATACCTTAAGTAAATAAAGTTCTATGTATTCGAAAAAGATGCGTATTGGGACATTCTATTTTTCATCCACACCCTCCCTTATGGAAGGCATGATTCTGACAGGCCCTTATCTCTTAAACTGCGATTCCTACAGGTCCCTTATCATTACACAGAGTATGGAGGGCAGGATTTCGACAGGCCCTTATCACTTAGATTGTAATTCCTACAGGTTCCAGATCTCCCAACTGGGTCATGTAGCAGCTGCTTGGAAGAGAAGTCACCATGGTGTGTTTCCCTGACCCCAAAATACTAACACAACTGGAAGAATGAAATGCCATTGTTTCTTGTGACCAATTAGGAGAGACCTATCCTCGGAGACCCAGGGGCAGATACAGGGGGCGAGGGAAAGTCTAAACGGGTGGAAAAATATATATGGAATGAGGAAAAGTAAAGAACGGCGAGAAGAGCCCCTGGGGACAATGTCTTAGCAGACCAGTTCCAAACGGTCGCCGCCGTTCTGGCTTCTGATTGGTGCCAGAAAAACTTGTGTTTGGCAGATAAAAAATGGAATGTCCCATTACCAGCTGCTATTGGGTTTTACTTTGGTTTAAAAGATTCTTTACTTTTTGTCCTGAATAGTACTGCTACTTCGACGCTTACAGTCCAGCAACGGCAAAACACCAGGCCGCGGTTGTTCAAATGTTGGATAGCGCTATCCACCGGATAAATCACTATCCACTGGATAGCGCAATTGGTTTCCCTAATACTTATCCGTTGGATGGTGATTTATCCAGTGGATAGCGCTATCCAACGTTTGAACAACCGGGGCCAGTACTATACTGGCAAAAGAATGAAGTAATAAACTGTAATATCTTTTAAGCCCCACAAGGGTCAGGCATTTTTTCAGCGGTGGGCATTTATTGGAGAGAGGGTGGAGGGCTTATTTGAAACTCGAGAGGCAAGTCTTGGTAATTCGGCATTATTTTGAGAGATGAAAGTGACAAGTGTAAAGATAAAAATAGAAGTTTTTCGAAATACCATAGTAATAAAAAGCAATATTATTGTCTATGCAAAATGGCATCGCATCACACTTACACTTTCTCACAGATGTACAGGGTAACATGTATACATATGTGAGTCATTTAAGATATCATGCTAATGATGGTATTCCCTGAGAAACTCAAAGGAAAATTATACTATTCAAGCTTATAATCCAGTTAATGTATGGCCAAGAACCATTTCTAGGAACTGAAAAGAGAAAAAAATATATATTAATCCCTATTCCATACATAAAATTAAAAGAAAGAAGTCATATATTTTTAACAAGAGTATCGTACACAAAATGCTGAGCCAAGTATTAAAAGTGTCATTTTCCTGCCATTGAAAGTAACAAAGAAGCAGAAAAACTTAACAGTCATTGTGAATGCCAATTAAGAGTAAGGGTATAGTTTAATATATATACAGCTTCCTTTTTAGTCCTTTCACTGTTAATCTTGCTTAGATTCCTGATCACTATCCCTTTTTTAAACTTAAGAGGTCTTTTTTGTTGTTGTTAGGGTTTCTATAAAGTTACATGATATCAATTTTAGTGCAATTAACAAGAAGTAGAGTCATCTCTTTTTGTTTGTTAGCATTCAGTTTGGTTGCTCAAACATGGCTAGTCTTGTTTGTGTCAGCTTCATGTGCTTGGTACAGTGTTTACTGGTGGCCCACCAGTTGAGCAGTTCATTTGGCCCACCCTTCCCCCCCTTTTTTCCACTCCAAAATTAGTGTATCAGGTGACTGGTTCCATTGGCTTGAGAGTTCATGGCTGGAAGGTGTAGGAGGGAGGGGTGGCGGCTAACTATTTCTAGGGGCTGGCTTTGCTAAAAGTGGTGGAAGACCCTGGACATCCCGGGCACCCACCCCCACTAAGGGACACAGTTGTCAATAACTCATATAATCCCTTGAGCCTTTTTCTGCTTGTTTGTTTCTTCTTGTAAAACTTGATAGACTCTGATTGTATTGTTGTTAAAATACTACAAAGGTCATGCTATGTGATTCGGCTTGAAGGTTGTGTTTGGGTGACTTAACACCACAAAGTCAATATTACTCTAATCATAAAAGCTGTAACTGTTTTTGTCAAGTTGTGACTGAGTGGAAAACAATAAATACACTAGCAAAAATCACAAAAATATTTCAAAACAAGCAAAAAACATCTATTTTCATCATTTCATTAGGCTTAAAATAGCCAACAGTATGATGCAGAACATGTGAAATCAGAATAGAATAATAATTTCAACACTTAAACAATTTAGGGATTATCGCAAACAAATCTCTTTCCCTGGTTACCTGTTCATAACTGATAGTAACTGTGCCAGTCTGTTGATGATCATGTTTTCTAAATGCGTCTGTAAGTGATTTTAGCATAACACAGCACTGAATAAAGTCATCAAACTTCATGGTGTGGAGATTCAGGCGATCAAATTTCCTTACACAAAGATTGGAGAAATTTGGTGATCTGAAGGAAGAAAAAAACCAATAAGTTAAATCTTCAAACTGCTGGATTTGATTTCCTTGCTTTATTCTGAGAATGGGGATATTACCCTCAATTAACCATGCACCTTGTACAACAGGCCAATACTCAAGGGAGTTCTTCACACTGTTGTAAAAAAAATCATGGGTTACTTTTGAGGGTTTGAGGGCGAGAAGCAAGGCTAGTAAGTACCTAGAGAAAAACTGATAGCAGCAAGGAAGAGGACAAGCAAAAAACTCAACTTATATTAAATTATATTGACACAATTCTCCAAGATAGGAACCCATGCAACAAAGTGGAAGCAAGTGCTCTCATTACTGCCACCAAACTTACAGTCTATATCCAAAGCTTGTGAATGCTGTTTGCAGTTCATTAGCATCTATCGTTCCAGATCTGTCACGATCAAAACTATAATAACAAGGATCATGTTATTAGCACCACAAACTACAAACATTTTCATTTGACAAAATAACAGGGTAACTAAGGAAGAGAGATGCTGCATATATTGAGAAGTTAAACATGAAATATGGTTTTACCAATGCATTTAGCCAACTGGTTAAGAGATTCACAAAAGGTATAGACCTTTTCGTTTCCATAAGGTGCTCTGGCAATCCTTTATGTATCAAAATTATATTTGATACTTTGATACAATTTTTCTTAGAGAAAAGCTTTGTAAACACAGTGCAATTCTGCAGTTGCAAATTTTGACTTGACTCTGGCTTACAATAAGTCTAATAACAATTCTATAATAGAGTCAATCAAAAAGGATGTTATATTGCATTTCTCATGTTTTTCAGTGGAGTTTAAATACTACCTGTCAAAACACTGTTTCCATTGCTGAATGTACTTCCATAATGCAGAGAATTCATAAATATCAATTGTTCCGGACCTAAGAAAACACAAACAGAACAGAAAGAATGAGAGACCACTTAAATGTGATTGAATAATTAACAAACTTTTCAATCACTGTAATCATTATAGTTTCTCGGAGACAGATTAAGGTAGTACTATACTTGTCTAAAAAGTCTCATGAATGGGAGCATAAGGGTATTGTAAGAAGTTACTCTCTTATCTAGTACGTTTTGGTGAACAGGATACTACTCCTCGATATGGGGTCATAAATGTATGTGTTTCTTGAAAAATAAAAATTAATAGATTATAACACTCACTGATCTTTGTCGAACATGCCAATCATTAGACGGCAAGTTTCAGGGTTAAACTGAGACCAGTTGTTATTGAAGAGGGCTTGTCGCAATTCAGTAGCAGTTATTTTGCCAGATTTGTCTTGATCTACTGTCTGCAGACAAGAAAGCCTTTAGTGATCACACAAAACACAGTCATATAACTATAACACTTGGTTACAAATTCAAAAAAGGTTTTTCTATTTATGAATTCAACAAAATACTGTGAACTGCCAGATAGATAGCTAGATAGATAGATAGACAGACAGACAGACAGACCAGACCAGACGGACGGATGGACGGATGGACGGACAGACAGACAGACAGACAGACAGATAGATAGATAGATAGACAGATAGATAGATAGATAGCTTTTATTATCAACAGAGCACCACTTTTAAGTCCTGGGCTTATACTACTTTACTTGGTTTTTTAACGGGTTTTGGGATGGCTTATAAATGGAGGGGCTTATAACCAGAATAGAAAATGTGCTTTGCAACAAGCACTCACGGTGCTGACTAAAATATGTTTTACCCTTGCTGCTCTTTAATAATTAAGCTTAAAATGTCAGAATAAATTGAATTTCTTTCAGTATGTTTGGATAAGAGTTCATACCTGTCCTGAGGAGGCGGGGGTGCTTATAATGGGACATATTTTTTGTTTGCAGGTAGATGGACCTATCACTGAGGGGAAGGGGAGGGGCCTTATAAGAGGCGGCTTACGGTACACTAAAAAATGACATGTTAATATACCTGGAACCATTCCCAAAGCACTGGATCTATCCCAGGAGGGGGAGGTGGACGAGCACCCCACCCTCCAGGGTAACCCGGAGGATACTGAGATGCTGGAGGAGGAGGTCCATAGGGATTATGTTGTTGGTATCCCTGTGGCTGACCATAGGGACCATGCTGGCCACCCTGTTGATTACCACAAAAAATCATTTCATTAGCAAGAAACAGACACTAATTTATCAGAGGTTTTAAAAGAAAAAAAAACTAAAGGCTGAGTGTTAAAGGATGTTGTTGTTATTTCACTTTTATTTAAAAAGAAACATCCTGTTGAATCTGAAAACAAATATTAAATCCCTCTTTGTACACTGGTGAGAATACTGCCAAATAAAGTGTACTAATGGTAATGAACTTAATGTTCATATTTTCTTTTTGCCCTTAAATTAAAATTCATGACAGTCATAAGCCCTCAGCCCAAGGCTGTGCTCTACCACTGCCAGGTGGCCCCTGGCCCCTAACTTTTGCCTCAGGGCGACTAGATTTTTGCCCCCATTCAATCAGTACCCGCCCCCTCCCCCCCCACCCCTCCCTCTGGGATGAAATAAACTATTGCAGGTCCACAGTATCAAACACATCTGCTGGTGTGATGCACTTTTGCCCCCTGGTTAGCTCAGTTGGGAGTTAGGAGAGTGCCCATCTGCTGAAATGGTAGTCGTGGGTTCAAACCCTGGCTGGACCAACATTCAGGGTCTTTAAATAACTGAGGAGAAAATGCTACCTTTGCAATGGCATCTGCAAATGGTTAGACTTTCTAGTCTTCTCAGATAGGGACAAAAAACTGTAGGTCACATCTCGCAGCACTTTCACTTATCTGTTCTTGTGGGACGTAAAAGAACCCACACTACGGATCGAAAAGAGTAGGGGACGAAGACCCTGGTAGTGTGAACAACCTCTCCTGGGATGGGTGGGTTATCTGTAAGGACACACTTAAATTGGAGTCCCACTCTGTTGTGTGTTCCGCACCATATAGTGGAAGTGATTAAAAAATAAATAAAAATTTTAAACAAAACATGAAACACAGGTACATTAGTAAGCCAAAGACTTCACAGTAACAGAGGCATGTCTTTGCCCTCATATTATCGTGCCTTTCACTGGTCACCCACTAGAAAGCCAGTGTAAAGTGTGGTTAAATTTTGAGTCCTGGAATAAGGCTATGTTTAGACAGTACCGGACAAATTTTAGACCGGTGCTAAAATTTGTGCACTTAGGTGTGTCTGGTCAAATTTTTCAGCCAGTTGAAAATTCATCCAGTGGCATATGAAAGAAGCCTAACTTTTTTTACTCATTTTGCCCAGGAAAATTCTGACTGGTGAAAATGCAACTTGATGATAGTCAAGCTGTTTTATGATCACTATCTGGACAAAAAGGACCTTCATCTCTCTCTGCTTTTTTTAAAAAAATGTTTATTCTTTCAATTTTACCTTATGGCTATTTTAAAGTTCTTGTTACTGTGATGATGTGGTAATGATAAAGCCATATTAAGTTGACACGATTTCCTACTATACATCAAGTCATATTGTTAATGTAAGTTAATTTTTGCATATTTCTTAAAAGACTTCAAAACGCCAGAATTAAGACTGAATACTGAGGTAAGCATAAAATTCTATTTCCACTCAACAGTTTGACTTCTTGTAGCACTATTAAAGGGTCACTAAGCGTTTGCATTTTCCCAGAAATGTTAAATCTGAAACCCAGACCTATCCCAAATTGACCATAAAAGTAAGCTTAATCGGTTTAAAATGGACCCTTATGTTTGTGACTAACAATAAAATCACACCCATACCTAGCAAAATTATACTTACATAAGCTGGATTATAACCTGGCTGTTGTCCTGGGCGTTGATTCCAAGCCATAAAGGATATGGCAAGGCGGAAAACTCTGACAATAAATGGCCTCGAAATATACCGTAATGCCAACGGAGATCCTTCAATAGTGACAAAATGTTCGAGGGAGGGAGGGAGGGAAGGTGAGGGGGGGAGGCAAATTACATCTCCAAAAAGTTACTTCAGCAAGATTTATGTTTTAATATCTAATAATAAATTATTGCAATTATTAGGCTCTTTGCCTAAATAAAGCATTTGCTTTTTCTTCTCTAATTAAAGCAACATTTGCTTTGATATCTCTTTCCTTACCCCCTCCCGGATAGCCAAGTAGTGTAACCCATAGACTAGGACCCAGTTCTCTCGTTCTCATTGCTGTGAAAGCCTTGGCGTTTGTTTTTGGAAGACAAGGAAATGTAGGAAAGTTGTGCAAAAAATCAGAGGGCCATTTTGTTAGATCTCAACAATGGAGCAGAAGGATATCTATTATAATAAGGCGGAGTACATAGAAACCGTGAGTACGAGGGTTTATACACTCCACTTTTTGCTGACTTGAAACTTAAACCAAGCCACCTACAACGTGGACGACTGATGATTCATCTCAGAACACTCTAAATTCGAGATTGCTCCGAACAAATCATGAGATAAGAACTCATTTTTTTCCTTAAGTTAAACAGGCAGTTTGAATTTAAGAGAACAAAATCTTATTTTGTGATTTGTTTTTTCTCAAAATAAGAAATCCACGAAATCTCGAATTCAGAGTGGAATGGACATTCTCATATCATGATTCTGTTACCCTTGACAATCTAGGCATCAGGAAACAAAGTCAGTCGCCAATCTGTTCTATGTGGAAGTCAAAACATTGTTCTAAATGGAAAGGTTAGTGTAGATAACAATGTTTTTACGTATAATAATTACGTTGTGTTAACCTGCTTTAAGCTTACAATAGAAAGAGCCAGAATGTTCTTGGTGCAATAATATAGTTCTTTTTCGTTATTAGCCTCTGTAGAAATGTGTACTTAGCTTTATTAAGTTTCCAATGTGAGCTCTATTAAAGGCCCATCCCTTAATAGAGTTTTGTGTATATTTAAGTATTATTTTCTCTTTGTTTTCTCTTCGTATCTTTTAGTTCGATTATCTTTTGACCATCTTTCAATCAAAAGCCATCGTGTAAGACAGTCTTTTTAATTATTACAATTTCAGACCATCATTCAATCAGATTGTATCCTCCGTGGTGACCTTGCAAATGTCAGAATAGGCCGCCAGTGTGTGATTAGCAAAAGAAGCGTCATTAGGCCTCCATTCAAGAAATTCAGCAAAGGGTTTGTAGATGGTGTCAATAAACATGTTTCAGTAATTTCAGTGTACCCTTTACCTCCAACATTATCTTACCCTGCGAACAGAGTCTCCTTCGATCTTCCTAGATAAGTCGGGAAGAGGAAGGAACCTCTGCCGACATCCTCAACAATTCATATTGAGCATGCTCCAAATTCAAATTTTTCTGCGACGTCAATCAAACCATTGCCGTAGCATCCACTGTGTTTGTCAGCAAATGTAAATGTCAGGGGGAACGTACCGGTTCGTTCTCACCCTTCCGTGGCTGTGTTTCCTCTGGATTTGGAAGCTCTATAGGAACAATTTCACTTTTGGAATCTAAACTTGCCATGTTTCAGTGTAAAGAAGATAAAAAAAATCTTAGAGCTAAGGTAAAACTTTTCAAAAACAAAGCATCTAACCTTGAAACACAAAAACACACAAAACGGATCGAAATCCACCAATCACAAATCACGAACGACGACCTTTTGTTTCCTAAGAGGTTCGCTAAGATGTATGACAGGCGAGAAAGCGAAGAAAGTGCCGCTTCTTCAGACTTTGATTGACGTCGTAGAAAAACACAAAATCCAAAGACGTTTTTGGCATCGCAAGTCAGGTGTTATCCACAAACAGCTGTAAAAGCATCGATCATTTAAATGCAACATGGATTCTGTAGCCTCATGATCTTATTTTGAATTAATGTTATCGCAAACACAGAAGAATAAGCATAGATGTTGTTTCTTAAATATTATTATTTTTATTCAAAACCCATTTGTTTATCCTTCCAAAAACTTCGTGTAACACTTACTGGATTGTGAATCCGTTCACGCAGCAGAATTAGCTGAGTACATGGTTAAATCCAAAACAAAATCCATCTCGAATCTAGGTACATTTTCCAATTTTCTAAAACTGAACGTTGAATCTATAATTTTCTCAAAATTCCCGCATGAAATAAAAGCGGCAACTAGTTGTTTTTCTATGGAGCGTGGACGCAGAAAGAGTCAGCAAAATTCCAGAATATGCGTGCGTGCACAGATAAAACTGGTTTATCGAGTATAAAACTTGTCTGACTCATCCAAAAAGCTGGATGATCGGCAGATCAAAGGAACTTGAAAATGTCGGCAGAGTCGCTTCCTCTTTCCCGACTTATCTAGGAAAGATCGAAGCAACTCTGCTAGCAGGGTAACATTATCTGCTTCTGCTCAGGACAATTCAATTTGAAAAGACAAAAACGGTACCATACAAAAGTGCTGTCAAAGTCGCTCGCTAAAATAGTCACAAAAGATTATTTTCTGAACAGATCATAGGTCAAAACTTAGAAACATATAGCATGTAACCACAATTGACTTTTTAAGTTGTCCTGAAAGTAGAACTAGACGGTACTGTACTTGTTAAATAAGAAAAGATAGTATTAAAGGTTGTATCAATTTATAAAGATAGAGAGGTACACATGTACACCCATATCATGCAGCAATAAGTAACCTGTAATAATAAAGACTTAGTAGTTGCCCGAGAGTTAAAAAACTCCAAAAATATGATATTTATCATTGGTAATGATGTTGGTTTTAGGGTTGCATTCTTTCCTCTTCATATTGGAGATCATGTAATTATTGAAGAGGACTGTGTTGTAAATGCAGCCCAAGTGGGATCTTATGTCCACATCGGAAAAAACTGTGTCATTGTAAGTACAGCTGCAGTACTTTAAAGCATCATTATCATCATCATTATTATTACTATTATCATCTTTATCATCATCATCAGTGAAACAATAATCAGTGTCACAATAATGATCTTCAACCAAAGCTGTATTATTACACATGTACCATCTTCGTCATCATCATCATCACTAACCTCTCTACCCCCAGTATCATTACCACCACCACCATCATCATCATCATTAGGGAGCTTAAGCAATGACAACGGTGACGTCAAAGAGAACGGCAATAATGCAATAGGTTTAGATTGGCAAAACAACAACTTTGCACGTGCATCACGCTTTTTTTTTACATTTCTTTGCCGTCATTGCACAACTACAACGTGAAAGTGCCTAATTTCACATTTTGTCGAGGATGGGAACAGGACGCAACAACTTTCTTTTTCTTTTCCAAAACTTTGGCACATTCCTTTAGAATTCAACTCCAAAAAAATTTGCCAACATTTGACGAATTAAACGAGATGGAGTAAGTGCGGTAAAGTTTGAAGCAGCGCAAATTCACTTTTTAAGTGACGTTTTCGTGGCCGTTGCCGTCGTCATTGCTTAACCTCCCTATTATCATCACTATTACCTTTATGACCACCTGCACAGTGTTCTCACCAGGCCGCGGCCTTGCGGGATTCCCGCAAGAAAAACTGAAATGGCGCATTAAAACCAAAAAGATGCGCCCGTTAGGGCGCAGGGGCAAGCTACGAGTCAAACAGACTTAAGTAGTTTTAATGGTCAACCTAACACTACAGCATTCTGTTTGTTTGAATAAATAAAAAACATGATATCAAATGAGTCAAAGTCTTTAATTTTGTTGCCTTTACTTTCATTGGTTCCACGCACGTCCCACTACATCGTAAACTCCTCCTCCGAATCGTAAACACCTCTTCCGCCATATTGGATCAGGTAGGTACTTCATGTAACAGACAATTTGGAGTGCGGGCTCAGGTTCTTCGTACCGCGTGTTTTTTGTAACTTTGTCCCCCTAATGTTCTTACAGGGCCCCTATTCCTCAGAAGAGGGGGGCCCTGGGACTCCCCAAGGCAAAATCCTGGTGAGAACACTGCCTGCAGTGCCATCATCCGCATCTTAACCATCATCATCATCACTGTCTCTTTCACCAGAATCATTACCATCATCATCAATGCTATCATCATCATCACCACTTTCTTTATCACCAGTATCATTACCATCGTCAACATCAAGTTATCATCATCATCATCACCATCTCTATCTCCGCTATCATTATCATCATCACTACGATCACAACTATGACTATAGTATTCTTCATTTTTTCTGTTTACATTTATTTAATGGCAATTAATTCTGGGCCAAACCTTTAAATTCCATTGACGTCATTTACAGATGCCTTGTTTGGTAACTTGCATCCAAAAATTAAATATGTTTATTCATGTACTGAGCATTTAGGCTTAGATTATGAAGTAAATGAATCAGAGACCCTGTTTAAACTATGTAACATGTTCGTCCAACTTCATCCAATATCACTGGATGGTGTTGGGTACCCAGAAGTTTCAACATCATCCAATGCAACCCAGCAAGGCATGCGAGTGGATTCAGGATACATTGTATGTTGCAGTTAAATACACTGACTGAAAGTTGAACCAACATGTCAATCCATTTCAACAAGGCCTTCCTGTAATCCACTTCTGTTCTTTTTGAAAGGGTCGGCGGAGTGTGCTAAAGGACTGTTGTGCCATAGCAGATAATACTGTACTACCTCCTGAAACTGTTGTTCCACCTTTTACACTTTATTCAGGATCTCCTGGTAAGTGCTCTTATTCTTCAGTAGAATATGACTAATGCAAACTTTATCCTCCTTTTTACCTTACAGCCAACAGAAAGTGGGAATATACATTAATGGCTTTGTATATGCTACAAACTAACCAAAATAGACAAGCTTTTTTGCTATGTAATGGATAGGACTTCTAAAAAATTGTGAATATACATTAATGTATGTTGAAGAATTTTCCTTTCTCTGTCTGAACTTGGGTTAAGTCCTAAGATATTTTGCTCAAGAAATTCTCTAATACCTGGCAAATTGAGTGCTTTGGAATAGTCTAATATCATGGCTGTCACTAAAAATTTCAAGTTGCTGTGTATTTGCACTTAGTAGGCAGGAATTTGGACAGCTACGGGGGTTCTTTTTGTTCTATTATAATCATGGTTTCATAAATGCACCTAAACTCTTTAATGGCAGACCAACATAAATTTGTTGCCAATCTTAATTAAATATTATGCACTTTATTGCAGGTGTATTCAGTGCAGAATTACCTGAGTGTATGCAAGAATTAATGACAGAGAAGACAAAGGACTATTATCAACATTTTATTCCCATCACAGAGGACAAATGACCTTCACTAAGGTTGTAGGCAGTTGTTTTTTCAAATTAGTCACTAGCTATGAAAAGCAAGTAAGGTACTTGTAAGAACTACTATGAAGTTGCATTGCAAGATGAAAGATTTGATTGTTAGTTGTTTATTCAGCGTTTGGGTTTGTAATGCAACATACTTTATTAAGTTATTACAGGTAACTCTCATAGTGGGGATTAACTGACTCATCCCCAGCCATCTCTCGATCTTTGGATCGCATGCGGAGAACGTAATGTGAGAGGCGTGACCCGAAGAGAGCATGAGGGCTGATGAGAAGGAGGAAAACAGGAGACTGAGAGATGACTGGGGAAGAGTCGGGATATGGTAGGCAAAAATGACTACTAGCTGTTAGGGACAATTTCATTTATTTTTGTGTGATTGTAATCACATTATTTTTTGTTGTACAGATTGATCAGGATTTGATTATTGGATTAGTCTGACATTCTGAAGCCAGACTTGTGATCAAAATTATCTGTATTATTTATTTCAAATTTACGGTCACATTAGATTGTTTATTTACCGTTTAAAAATTGAGCAGGAGTGTATTATCAGGTTTAAAAACTTGAGGCGAAGACGAGTGCTTTTAAACCTGATAATATACAACCGTGAGTTTTTTTGAACAGCTTCAAAATCTCTGATATAGATCAACTCATTCTTGCATTAATATTTAGATTTGGAATTATCTTGGTCTAAAAAAATGGATGTAAAGTTTAGCCATGTCTTTATCAGATATAAAGACACTCATTGAACATTAATTTCTTTTGTTTTTCTTTATGAATTACAAGTAAGTTTTTTGACGGATAGCTAAATGTATTGTTAATATCACATCTCATTAACCCCCTTAACTATAGATAACAACAGTAGTATTATTTTATTTGACAAAATGTGTCCCAAATACATGCACTGTTAGTGTGTCAAAGGTTGTATTCCCATTGGTGCTCTTTAGTTTGTAACCAAAATTAAACCATACAGACTTAAATTGAGTTATTTCTACAGTTTTGGGGTGAAGAAAGCGGTCACATTGTAAAAATAGTTTATGACATTAGTTGTTTCCCTCTCTTGGGTATGGTACTGATTATAGCCTTTTGCCAATAAATCATCAATTTATTGTCTGTAGCCATAGTTACACAGGGGCGTAGCCAGGATTTTTCAAAGGGGGAGTCACAGAGGCTACACACCAGACTATATATGGTTTATACCGCTGCTCTCCCTCGCGTATCAGCGGGCTCAGTCATATTATCACAGCATGAAGGCCCATATTAACTAAAGACAAGAGCCATTGATGAAAATACTTAACAAAAAAAACAAATTTTAAAAAAGTGGGCTTTTCAACAATGGCTTTTACGGCCAAGATATTGTCATGGCATTTTTGCCACCTGAATATTGTAGGTTGTTTGCTCAAAAGAAGGCCTACCAAGAGGGGGGGTCACGGGCACCCCAGGACCCCCCCAGCTACGCCCCTGTTACAGCAGAACATTTATGTCATGAGCACCAAGAAACAACTATAAGCTCTAATAAGACCATACCTAACCAAGCGTTTTCACGTGATGTCACGGTAGCCAAATTGGTGTTCCAAAACAATGAAATGTTGCCTGTGTTGATGAACCAAACCAAACCTGTGGGAGTTTACTTCTTTTCTTATGTAAACACATTCTTTTGTTCCAATGAATTTGCATAGATGCTGGCCACGTGAGTGAAAACGCTCTTTATCGAGAAAGACCAATAAGAGGAACTATAGGGATAAGACCTGATTCTTAACTAAAACAGCCAATCATAGTAAGTTCTCTGAGCTTTCTTTGTCCATGGCTGACTTGGAGTCATTGTGTTCCTGGATCTGGTTAAGGGATTCTAAATTTAATTTATAATTATGTAATTGTTTTTTTGTGTGTTTCTTTAGCCATGCTAATTATTTTAGTGTGTGAGGACATTAGGCATAAGGTAATGCTGGACTATAATCATTATTACTCTAACTATTGCTGGATTGCACATGAAGTTACTGGGCAGTGGCCATGTTGGTGGTCAAGAACAAAAGCAGTTCTCTTCTCTGGGAACTAAACTCCGTTTTCATAAAAAATTCTGCAAAAAAATGTCATCTTATTGACCACCATTATGGCCGTCATGTCTGATGGCTGGAAACCAAGAATAATGCAACCTTTCAATGTGTGGGTTGTTAGAAAACTACTTCCAGGTTTCCCTAGATCTCTTGTGGATGAATATTGGCAAGCAGATTTGGGATGGGTGGAATAAGATGCTGTGGTGTTAAAATAAATTTTACCAAGTTTTGCTTATCTGATGTGGTTACTTGCTTGTTTTTGGAATGTTGCCGCTAAAAAAACTACAGGGTGTTTTTGATCACTAGATTTTCCTTTTTCGATTTTTCTTCAAAGTTAGTGGGGTGTGTCTCTTCCCAGTCTGACTAGCTGTACCAGGCTTTCGGTCAGTGGAGCCCGGCGAAAAAGCGGGCGAGAAAAGCAGAGAAAAAGTGAGCGAGCGAAAACGGGGCTTTTTGCGGTAGTTTTCCTACTGTGTTGGAACCTGGAACAAGGTACAGACTAACGGGTTCATTCCTCGTGCGCGTCTCGCGGCCTTCCCGCTTGCTATTCGCGTGGTACGTGTGCACTAAACAGCAGAAAAATAATACACAGCTTGTAGTCTACGGATTTCCCAATTACAAAAAATGAAAGCCCAAAGCCAGATAATTCAATGATGTGTGGGAAAATAGGGAATTAATGACTAAACAATCAGTACTAAGGACGTTAAGTGAGAAAGACGGGGAGATTCACTCTCCACGGTTTTTTCATATCAAATAAAGAGCTCGAATTTTTAAGCAAGACATAAAATTTAAGGAAACACGTTTACTTCACCCCTTCCTGAAACTGATTTCTTCTGACGATTGTTGATAAATGAAATGGGCTAAAAGCTAGTTACTAGTTGCAAGAAAATTGGGTCACTTGGTTGCATTATAAGCACGCCCCGAAACTACAGCTGGGGCACCGTCTCTGCAGCTCGTTGAAACTGAACTTTGGAGAGAATGCATTGAACATTGCTGTTTTTAACTCTAGCAAGGCGAACTTGTAGCCAATACATTGCCGTGGACCCACTCGAAACGGTATGTGCGAGTATACATCGTGGGTTTCCTTGTTCTTTGGGGAGAACCGATCAGGGCCGGGTTGTTCGAAGCTGAAATTTTGAACTCTGATATGAGAGCTTAAAAAGCAAATTCAGTTCAATTCTCTTTGCCTACAACTTGATGATTGGATATGCTAAAAACTAGAGAAAATTATCCGAGAGAGTGGTTTTGATAAAAAGAAAAAGAAACCCGGGTTAAGATTTAACCCGGTATTAGCGCTAGCCCGCGTTCGAACAACTTGGCCCAGGGTAGTATTTCTCCGGATCAGGCCATAACGCAGGGTCACGGTGGAGTACACAGACTGGGATGAACACGTATACACCACGTGGAATTGTGATACCATTTATGGTGCACGTGCTCGTGGCATCTCCGGCTGTTATTGAAACGAGGGGTGTAAAGACTTAAGACCTCGCAAATCGGCCGGTCGAGATAGTCCAGACTGTTAACAAAGTCGCACAGAGGCATGTCCCCAAGGGTTTTGATTGCGTTGTCCAGTTCTTCGTGGAGTTTCTCCTGTATTTCAGGGTCTGTGGCCAGGACGTACGCCATGTGAGACAGAGTGATTGCTATTGATTCAAACCCTGCTGTCATGAAGATAACAAACTGAGGGGACACCTCTTCATCACTCAGCTTCCTTGCAACTAGTGGTCTATTATCAATGCTGCGTTCTAAATGGTTGAGCTACTACTAGGCTATAGCCCACTAGTAGCGAAAAGCGGCGGCTTTTTGGCGGCAAAAAAGGATTAACGTCTAGCTTAAAGTAGCTAAAGTTGTTTTGTCTCGATATTTTTGACCAACTAGTTGGATTTTACTAAAGCAATTATTCCTCTTGCCCTCATGGCCTCTGAGTCAATAGCCCATTCGAGATCGAGGAATAATTGTTAAATAAACTCCGTAGCTATGCGCTGGACATTTTCTAGCAAACACACATGTGTAAGGGGACCAAAGTTCGCTAGCGTATTCTAATTTAGGTCGAGCAATTGAACAGTACAAAAGAGTCCTGGTGTCATTATCACTATGTCAGGAGTACTGTTTGCTCTCAGGGAGATCTGATTATGTCACGGTGTTGAGACCACTGAAGGTTGTCAGTGATAGTTATGCCCAAGTCTTTTTTTTTGCTAACTGTAGTTAGTAGGGTCCCATCTAGGTAGTATTCTCTGTTTGACGACGATTTTTTCCTGGAGAAGTTTAGGGTCTTGCACTTTGTTATGCTGAGGCTCATTGCCCAAGTGTGACTCCAGTTGGCTGAGCTGAGTCAAATCTCGCTGAAGAGATATCTTATCAGAAGGCTTCGAAATGATCTTGTATAATTTGGAGGCGTCAGCGAAAATTGCTATTTTAGAGTCATATTGGATGCATTTGTATAGACGAGAAAGAGTAGTGTAACCAATATGGAGACTTGACGTACTCCAGAAGTAACTTGTCGCCAGTTGGAATAGGTACCCTGTAACGCTACTCGCTGAGATCTGTTGGAGAGGTAACTATGAAACCATTGTCTCAACTGGCTGGATATAGCAAAGCGAGAAAACTTGTTGATCAAGGCATAGGGGAGACTTTGTCGAATGCTTTGGCAAAGTCTAAATAGACCACATCAATCTCTTTGCCATCAGCTAAGACATCATGACTTCGTGATAGACGAATCAAGGAACCAAGGTGATTTCACAAAAGTAAATCTCACCGGTATTTGCGGCAGCTAGTAATTTTTTGGCCAAAAAATCCGTAGCCTCTTCAATTAGTGGAATGACCTCTTTCAGCTTTGCTACGCTAAACGCTGGTGAGAACGTTGAGCGAATTCTCCTCCATTGCTCATCGTTGGCAATAGGCAGAAAGGAATTCATCGGTGGACTTACATCTGAAAACCCTCTGTTGCCAAACTGGAAAATTCTGTAATGGCAATATGTTTAATCATGTCTGGTTCTGAGACCACGATAATCGATTGTCTCGCAAAGCTGACCTTGTATACTCGTCTATACAGTTGGTAATACTTCCATAGCATTTTATGCAAACCTCTTTATCTAATGACCAGGGGCACCCAACGTCAATCTTCGGAAAATATCTGTTCGGAAGACGATTTGAGATCTAGAATTTTTGGAACATTTGTTGTAAAATTCCTTGCTTGCCTGCCTCTCTTAGGATTTTCGAATGTCTAAAAAATGGTATAATTGCCCATTTTTAACGGATTTTTACCCTAAAAAGGTCACCTAGAATATTCGGGGGCGTTTTTTCTGGCTGAAATTTTTTGAAAAGGTAAGTTTTGATCCCTATAATTTTCGGATCACTAGACTTTCAGCTAGAATATCCGAACAGATGACAAATTCTTAGGGGATAAAAATATGCCTATATCTACCGTTTTAATACTAAAATACGTTCAACAGTGCTATGTTTAAGAGGTTCTGAACAATGATTCTCGATGGGTGCCCCTGAATGACGTTGGGTAGACTCCCAGCATATGGCTATTGATGTAGTCCTGGTGTTGGAACAATTTTGAGGAGAGAGTAATTGGTTACACCTCGCCAATAAATCACAAGTGTAGCAAGGGTTAGACAAGCTGTCCTTAATAGAATAATATCGTGTTAAAAGGCTCTACCGCTGAATATTAGCCTGTGAACAGGCTCTCTGCCTGGGGAAAGGGTCAAAAAATCGCAGGGAGAGGGAAGGCAAAGTGTGAGAGCCTGTAAACAAATATTTGAGGCCGTTGTTCCACAGCACCCGCTGTGCATCACATCCTGATGCAAGCTCTTATTGGGGAGAACACTGACTGTTGATAGGTTTGATTTACATCGCTTTTTTTGTCGGCACGCTGCACGTGATTTGATTTAAATAATCGCTTGTAAACAGCACTTCTGATCTTAACATGACGTCTTCTGGCCCTTGACTGATGAACCTTCTTAGCCGCAATGATTGTTCTTGCATCACTGCGGCAAATCACGTCGAACAGAAACAATAACCGCAGAAAAATCAATATGCATGTCACGACCTCTTAATATGAAATAAGCGGCAAAAATGACATTTTCTCAGTTAAGACTAAACCCTCCGTAGTAGAATAAACTCATTGGAAAAAGCAGCATTTTGGCACGAGGTAAAGTTGTGTGTTGCCAGCCGACCACCATTTACACGCGAAATTGATTCCAATCTATCTAAGTGACTGATAACGATCAGGCTGACACTGATATGATCGGTTCACAGGCTAGCTGAATATCCCCAATTGAACATGATCAAATCGATTTAAGCAAGAGACTGATGGTTAAAAGACAGTTAAAATCAGACAAACTCTGATCTAGATCCTACTCAGCGCAAATGAGTATTTAAGATGGGACTTGGAAGAAATCTGTACGCGACCCAAATGATCCCCGACCCCAAATGATCCCCAAAATCGACCTAAACACGACCCGAAATGATCCCCGACACCAAATGAGCCACAAATTTTTTCACACGCGACCTGAAATGATCCCCGAGGAATTATAGGAGTGGAATGGGAAAACATTTCTAGCTCGGGGATAAGATTAAAGCGTTTTAATTCCGTTTTTCGGTTAATGCGAAATGCGGAGTTTTTCGGCTATAAACGCGAAATCTTTTCAGAATGGCTAATCGACTGCACAAAGTTATTTTCAGTTATATTAATTGCCTGGAATTTACTTTTTCCGTAATAGTGTAGTTACTGGTAGTCGGGTGTAGCTTCCATGTAGAAATAGCAGGGATGTCAAACATGTGCAGGCGCGGATCTAGGATCAATACTGACCGTTTTCCAAAACGAGCGTCGAAGGCGTAAGCTTCTAGGGGGGTCCGAGGCATGCACCCCGTGAATTTTTCTTTTTTTTGTTTCTTTAACTCCCCAAAGTCGCTTTTCCTGGGTTTCTGAGTCATTCAGTCAGGATATTGGCCGGATTTTAACTTGGAAAGTTTTTTTTCATGAAAATTTATTTATCTATGAAAACTCTGACCGATTTTCGTAAAACGGTGGAAACCCGCGGTGTGGATCCGCGCCTGATGTGCGTAGAAAGCCATAAAAGATAGAATAAGCAATGCTTTTATTTTTTGTACTTTTATTTCGACTTCCTCACATTCGCGAGCGCGAATACACAATGAGTAAATTTTCATAATATAAGGCTGAAACTCAAACCGAGCACTGACAGCACTGTGCAACTGGCGAAAGCATTTACCGTATACAACATATATCTAGATTTATAATCAATGACACTGATTGAAAGCTACACCCTTGGCTCTAACCAGTGCCAATTGTTGTTGTTATTACAGTTTTGCCCAGGGGTGGCACTTGGGTATTTTTTAGGTGGGTATGTGCCGCCCGGGACTCCAAATTGGCACCCCGTTCTAAAAAAAATTTCCCCTAAAATTGATACCCCGTTCTAGAAATGGGCCACTTTTTTATACCCCGTTCTAGATTTTTCTCCCTAAAACTGATACCCCGTTCAAGAACTGGGCCAATTTTTTATACTCCGTTCTAGGGTGCAACAAGAGTATAACAGTTTGTTTGTTAACGCATTGAACCGTATTTTTAAAAGCAATCTGTCCTTGAATAATTTCAAATGGCTGCTTACAAAACTGGAGCTTTCGTGAGTTCGAAATATTATACCCCGTTCTAGAAAACGCTTCTGAAATGGATACCCCGTTCTAAACCAGGAGCTTCAAAATCACGACCCCGTTGGGCGGCACATACCCGTATAGGTAATGTCAAGAGTACCTCATAGTCTCTTGGTAATGTATGGGAGTACCCCCCCCCCCCCGGGCAGTTTTGTTCTTTCTACTGAATTATTTTATACAGTTCAGGTTATAAAGTTCTTGCATGTTAACCGACAGGTTAGGGTTTTCTATCGCCTCGCTGTTGTATTCAGTTGTTTTTTGTTTATCACTAATTTCACGGTTGTTTATGTTCACTTTTTTCCCTTACAGAGGCGGAGAGTTTCATATTACATATTGTTACAGTTCAGAAATTCTATAATTGACGCAAATAAACGGTTATGTAAATAAAACGTATGTTAACAAATATCGACAGAAAGCGAAGACTGTTACTTGTTACAGTAAGGCCCGGTGTAAACATCGCATTTCACATGTGCCAAATTTAATTCAGGTATTGAATGCGTAGGAAGTTCGGCGTTTAACTAAAATTAAATTCGACAACGCGACTTCTGTCGCATCTTCGACTGAGCCAGTCAAATCTCGACAGGAGTTCAACCGTTGTCTATTGTGCCGAATCGAATTTTTAAATCATGTTTAATTTATTATAACCCACAATTCTCAATTTTTTCCCAACTCTATTAAAACTCGCTCATGATTCGACGTCTAAAATGGCGGATTTACTTATCTAAGTAGAACCAAATAGGTATCAGACTCGGCACATGGGCCTAACGAGATGCTATTTGCACGATTAAACCTCCAATTTAAGCTCTAAAGTTTCTTGCAAAATTTGTTAAAAAGGAGTAATAATTATTTAATAAATTGTCCAAAATATATAAATAAATCAACACTTCAAACAATAGGCCACTTGCACTAAGAGGTCACGTGACCAATGCTTCCTTTAAACAATGAGTTGGAATCTTGCTGATGCCAAAAAATTGACAGAGGACATAAAAATTACTTTACAGCCGAAATTTGAGAGGAAAGGCATTTAAGGGAGACTTTTTATGACACTTTGATTTTTCAACAAAGTAGTATCATTTGTATTGGCCGCCATGTTGGAGGGCGTACTCTTGCCCCCCAACATGGCGGCCAAAACTACGTTTTGCCATATACGTTTGATAGTTACGCTCAGATGTGCTGTAAACGTTCCCACACCAACTTTTCAACATTTTCCTTGAAGTTTTAGTGCAAAAATTGTGTACAGAAAGAGGAAATTCATAATTTTAAACATTACATTTTGGTCACGTGACCAGCTACGAACTTACTCATTTTAAGAAAATGGTGCAGGTTTGAAAAACCAAATCACTATTATTTTGTTGAAGATATGACCCACTAATAGTTTTTTGAAGAAAAAATCATATAACTTTCATTTTCATAAAAACGATGTCACATGACCTCTTAGCGCAAATGGCCTATTCGAGTCAAAATTCTTTAATTCACTTTATTCTAGTAATTCTAGCATCTTCGGGAATTAAACGTCATCCCATTCCATTCCGATGATTCCTCGGGGTCGCGTGTGAAAAAATTTGGGAATCATTTGGGGTCGGGGATCATTTTGGGTCGTGTTTAGGTCGATTTTGGGGATCATTTGGGGTCGGAGATCATTTCGGGTCGCGTACAAATCTTACAATTCGTGACCTTTTTTCGCTCTATTTGCGTGTGTGCACACTTGAGCGGTTTTTTCTTTAGTGCTAAGGAGAGGTGCAGGAAGCTCTTGATAGAACTCTTGTCAAGTACGATCCTAAATATAGCTTGATTGATCGATTGGTAAGATTAAGCGTGTCCTGAACGAAAAGCTAGCACAGAAGAAAATTAAGAAAATATCAATAAGATCATAGACAGAGATGAAAGACTAAACTCAGTTACTATTGCACGACGGATCAGAGGCGGACGATCATTAGCGTGATCGCCTCTCTGACCGCCTCTCTCGGTTCCATTGCTTCCGAATCATTAACATAACAATTGGTTCATTGTTTCCAGGGGAAGCGATAAGATGGTCTATATCTGGAGGCCACTAGATATTTTGAGAACAAAAACTCAGGAATCATTTTAAAGGGAAATTTATGTTACCTATTATAAACGCGGCATGTTCTGTGCACAATCCTTGTCTATTTAGAACGATAAGTCACGACAGTTAAGGTCCACTACGAATGACACTGATTTTCCAAAATTAAAAGAAGTCATTCCATTAATGGAGGAAGCTTCGGATGTTTTGACTGGGAAACTCACAGAAGCCGCAAAAACAGGTGGGGATGGCAAATTTGACTATTTTCCGGAATATTTTATTTTGTTGGCTGCCAGTTTCGCAAACTTCTCTCAGTCTCGTTTAGCAGTGGTCAAGTCCTTCTTATGAGGAGTAAACGAAACGAAATTGATTGTAGAAAGGCAGTATCCCACCCAGCCCCCGGCCAAATCGTGATTTGCCACTGGCGGATCAGAGAGGGGGGCCGGGCTCTCCCCTTATTTTTAGACCAAACTGAGGCCCGAAGGGCCGAAAAAAAGTTTTTCGGAGACCGCCCCCCCACCCCTCCCTTATCTAAGGGACGGACCATTAGAAAAGTGATGGAGGGTGTGGGGAATTTTCAGCTTCCACGAATTTTTTTTTTCGCTCACTGCTTGTGCAGGAATTTTTTTTTCAGGTGAAACCCTCTACACGAATTTTTTTTCAGACAAATATTGCTTTTTTTTGAACACTGAAATCTTGATTCATTATCTATGTTTTTGTGCTTTATAAATTATTCTACACTCACAACAAATCAAAGGATACAGGCCACTTTAATGCAAAATCTTTTCGAAGATGTACACACAGTGAGAGAGGAGGAAGCAACTTGGAGTGGACGACTTCCCTGTGCATTTTTTCAGTCCCTTCCCTCCCACAGCCCATCATAATGATGCCATACTCCACACACCAAAACAGCCCCTCTGTAGTGCCCTCCACTCCAAAATGTCGATCCAAAAAGAAGGTACCTGTTTAGTAAAAGTGAAATATTAAAATGATTGTTAAAAGTTATTTAATTTTTATGGTGCTCTGTAATAACTTAAATGAACTTAGGCTACATTTTACTAAAAAAATAAAATAAAGGTAAGACTCACATTTCGTGTGAGAGTTCCACATAGTCTGGTAGCTGGCTGCATTAAGAAATAAGCGTTCACAGGCCAAACACGACTCATAAGCTCGTGATAATGTGAAACGTGACCTTGAGAGTCTGCTTGAACAGTGGTTCTATTTCTTTTTCATGCACTATACAGTGCATGACTTGTAGCATTCTAAACTTTGACTCAGTAAATTTTGTTTTTGCCGCACTAAGTCTTATATTTAGAGGTCATAAAGCAGGTTTGTTACATGCATACTGAGTAATCATTTCCTGTAGTTTATACTTCTGTAGGTGTTCCTGATAGGATTTGATTTCAGATGCAGTTGTAAAGTGTTTAAATTTTCTTTGACCTCTGTTTGTTACGGCTGAATAAACTGTATCTGAATAACTACATGTACATGCATGCATGCATGCAAGTTTCTTTGTCCGTGAATGTGATTATTTCCTGCCATGTCAGTATGACTCTGGGCCCAGCTCTATAATGTGGTTTGCAGGATTTTGAATTTCCACGGATAGTGCGGTCTTCAGATTTGAGTTGTATACTGTAGCTTAAACTAAAGCTACACCAAGTTTGGAGAAATATGCCGTACGTCAGTCAAGATAATTCTCTTAGCGCTCACACAGTCCATTTAGTTTTACTTAACATAGTGAGTCTTTGAACTAGAGCGCAATGTCTTGTTGTTTCTTCGTAGGTATTTACTTAAGTTTTTGCTTCTGCAGTCGTCTATACGACTGCTTTGAATTCTTAAGCAAGACTGCAGTTTCGGAACTATAGCGTTCCTCGTCAGTTGCTACTATGATAAAGTCTTAGGTACAGAGAGCGAAGCAGAGTGTTTAAATACTAATGGCTAGGATCGAAAATACTAACTTGCCATTGGCTGCAAAAGGGACCAATAGCGTAGGTGTATCTTTGATTCGCGTTCTGTTGTGCTTCCTTCAAGGCCACAAATTGTTTATTCATATTGTGCCTGGTAATATTGTTGATTTCTGAAACTCGGACTTTCTGAAAGAAACTCAGACTTTCTCAAAAAGTCACCATTGGACCTTCCTTCTGCACGAATTTTTTTCTTTACCTTCGTCTTTGCATGAATTTTTTTTCTTGGCATTTTCCCTTGCATGAATTTTTTTTGTTTTTCCCCCCCCCCCCATCACTTTTGTAATGGTCCGTCCCTAAGGGTCTGGATGACCGCTGTCTTAAGGCCTTGGTGATATCATTTATTCGAATTAGATATGTGCAAATATTTCACATTACTAAATGGTTAACTTACGGGCAAACGATATTTTCTTCCATTTTTGCTGTTACAAGTATGTACATCTAGACACAATTTCTACCAAAAGCTGTTGCGGTTTCGTAACTGGGAGATAAGCCTACAAGCAAGCTTTATCCTTATACAGGGAAAACGCTAGAGCCCGGGGGGGGGGGACTGGCTATATAGGTATGTGCCGCTGTGAAGGGTATGTTTTTCAAGCAGTTTACTCTAGGATAGGGTATATAAATCAGAGCGCTTGGGTCTAGAATAGGGTATTATTTTTCATGAAACTGATCAGTTGGTTGAAGATTTTATCTAGACTAGGGATTGTGGTATCAGGTTTTGTTTTGGCTAGACTGTGCTAGTGACCTCAGTAGTTTCTGGAAAACAGCTACTCTAGGATAGGGGGGATTTGGGGAGTTTACTCTAATATAGGGTAGCAAAATTCAGCTGAGCTAGCTCTGGTATAAATTAAGGGTTTCAGGGTTCCAGTGGCACATCCCTACCCAGAAATTTCTAAAGTACCCCCGGGCGCTAGAGTTGAATAAGGGTCGGACGTCGAAAGTGGACGGGAGGGTGAATAGAGTAAGGGTAAGGGTTTCGCCTTGTTCCCTTCCCTCCCTCTCCGTCCCCTTTTGCGCCTGCCAAGCAGGCTATGAAGCGTTACGCGCCAGTGGTGAGCCAAGCGAGACAAGAAGGCATCAGAAGGAGGCTCACTGCGCGCGCGGAACTTTCAACTTTTCGAATTCGCAGGTTACTGGGACTCTTTTGCAGGCAGACACATGGACGGATGGATGGATAGGTAGGTTAGATAGATCCACTATAAATAATGCATTTTCATTTTCTCATCACTATTACACCACTCATTTTGCAGGACACAGCACTGACGTCAACCCACTGTTTAGCTTATTTGCACTGGAAGTAATTCTATCCGCAGCATTTGGGATGCAAGCTGATATCCAAAGCAATCCCGACTCGGACACTGTTGAAAAGGCCAAAAACGTGTTCCGAACTCCGTTGTGGGTGCGCGCGTTTTCCATGTTCCCTTTTTCAGATTACTTCAGCAAAAAGTTAAATCTCAGTCCCCTTAATCACACCGACTACTTCATAAGAATGGCCCGAGTAATCTATGATGCAAGAAAGGCACATGTACAGAAAACGCCAAGTCGGAAGGATTTACTGCAACTGATGCTTGAAGCCCAGAAGCAAGAGATAGAGGGGAAGAGGATGAGCAATGAAGAGGTATCTGCACAGTCTGTCATCTTCATGGTTGCAGGATTTGAAACGACTGGAAGTACGCTATCTTACATGGCGTATCTACTCGCTGCGCACCCAGAAGTCCAGGAAAAACTCCTCCAAGAACTCGACAAGGCTGTAAAAAACCGTGGGAACATGCCTTTGTACGACTTTGTTAACAGCCTGGATTATCTTGACCAGGTGTTTTGCGAAGTCTTACGGCTCTATACACCCGGGTATTTGGTCCACCGAAGATGCAACGAGGCCTGCACCATAAATGGCATCACAATTCCACAGAACGTAGACGTGTTTATGCCGCCCTATGTACTCCACCGCGACCCTGCGTTGTGGCCTGATCCGGAGAAGTTTGATCCCGATCGGTTCTCCCCAGAGAACAGAGATACCCAAGAGGCATACTCGTATATGCCGTTTGGTGTGGGTCCCCGGCAGTGCATTGGATTCCGCTTCGCCCTTCTTGAGATGAAGACCGCGATGTTCAAGATACTGTCCAGAGTCAAGTTTCAAAGAGCTGCAGACACAGTGTCTAAGCTAAGATTTCGATCCGTGCTTCTAATGCAACCACGCGATCCTATCCTCTTAAAAATAGTACTTCGTTAATAGGGAGGCGATAGAACTTGAAGTTTTAGAATCACTGGCAACAGCAGTCTGAAACTTCCATCAGTTGAACACGCAGTTAAGCGAAAATCTTTGACTGTCTTAAGATAATGTTTGCTCCCCCTGTAAATGGTATTTTAAAAGAGTTGATCATTCCAAGTCTACAAGAAACAATGGTTTTTCAGTAAAACTGCCTAAAGTCCGCCTCGAATTTGGGAAAAATAGCTTTTACCATAAAAGAGCCAAGCTTTTTAATCAACTGCCAATAGGACGTCGATCCTTAACTTTCAGAGAATTTTATTTATGATCTATAAAATGTTCATCTTTTTTACCACAGTATAGTTATAGTCTTTTAGCATTTTATCTTAGAGTCAAAGCTTATCCTATTTTTTATCTTTTATTTGTTTATTCATTTATTTTTTTCGGGACCCCAATGACAACAGTGTTTTTATACACTGATGGGGGATATTTTATCCTGTTATAATATTCGCTTTTATTTACTTTTAACCCGGGCATTATAAACACCTGACTGCTATTTACGTCAATAGCCCAGCAAATAGAAATTCATGACAGCTAGATATATATTATTCGTACTTTTACTTTCGTTTTCTACTCTTCCAACAACGCACATACTAAGGGAAGAAAAAAAAGACTTCGTAGCCTTTTTCAACCGCCTCGATTTATCACAACTTATTATGATTTTTGCAGCCCCCGATGAAGGTACGTTAGTACTTAGTTAGTAATTAAATTCCCCTATCTTTCAGCCCTTCTATCAGCTTGCATTTGTCATCTTCACTGTTTGTTTTTGGTTTTAATTATTCTAAGTTGTTGGATGTACACCAAGATCCGACTTAAGTTCAAGTGGTCTTGCATCATTCAGCAGTTACCAATAAAGTTATCTACCTCTATCATAATGAAGGGTCCATTTTGTGGGTATATTACATAGTATACTAGGGTATCTAAAAGATAGTAATGCTGCGGCACATTTTGTTGACACTGGCATTAGTTAAGCAGTGAGAATTAAAAGGATCGAAAATGACATTGAATGTCCTAGTTACATGTATAATTAATATCAGTCTATAGAAAGAACTCGTGGGAACGTTGTTTAGAAAATGATCAAGTGGTTATCAACTCTGGTTTTCCCACAGTAAATTGTAGTAAATAATTGAAATTCAGATTGTTTATCCATATATTTAATATACGGTGCACGATATTTTCTGTGGAAGCACAATACTTTTCTTGCTGTTTGTTGCACTTTATTAAGTAACAGTTATTTAGCTATGTATTTATAGAAAACAACAACACAAAACACGGAAAAAAAAGAAAGAAGGAATAAATAAGTCGGTAGGACTCCAACCCGGCACCTTCGACTCGACGCGACTACACCTAACCACAACACCACAGAGGCTGATTACATTATCGTGAGGAAAAGTCTTTTATTTTATTCCTTTTCCATGAAACTTCCGCCGGCAAGATGATCGCCAGCCGCATTAACCGAGCTATTAACAGTGAAAAAACAATGTAAGCGCATATTCCAAGGCAATGAATGAATGAAAGAACATAATTATGCTTTTCAAAACGCCGATACACGTCCTCGTCTGCAAAGTAGGACACAAAACATATGTTTTGTTATCTCGATTTCCGCTGTTATTTTGAAGCGAATGGTCGAAATCACATCCATTTTCGGCTCATACAGTTTCTTAAGAATAGCATTGCATGACATTTTCTCACTTTCACATCACCTTCTAGCAAGCTGGAATTTGTCTATCCCCCGTGTTGCGGAGTCGAAGAGCAAATGCTCATCCTCTCGTCACGGTTTAACACCTGGACGAGTCAAACGCTCTTGAATTGAAATCCAATCCCCAAGTTAACCATCGTACTCATCTGAAAGACTCCTGCGTGTCTTAAAATTTGGTGAGACCTCTAACCGTGCTGTAGAAAATTTGTCACAAAGAAAACTCTAAGTCTGAGCAGCGAACGATGCACTCTCACCCACCGAACTTCCCCGTGTTTTTATTTGAGTTGTTCGTGGCGCAATGCACTCTGGTTAAATGCAATGCATTGTGGTAAAAAGTGTGGTTAAATGCAATGCATTGTGGTAAAAAGTGATGAATTCGAGAATTCGTCTCCCCTTATATATTTCCTTTAAATCCTGATTATGTTGCTGCTCGCTCCCTTCGGTCGCTCCGCAGCAATTACATGGTAGCACTTTTTGCAAAATATTATGTGAAAGTAAGCCGGATAACTTAATAATACTAAAAGCGTCAATGTACAGGATATATAGTTAACGAACTCAATCATCGAAAGAGTTGCGTTATTGTTTCTTTTACAGCTTCCCTAACTTCTGTGATCTTCCAGCAGTATAACAAGGGATTTAAAGACGAGTTTAAATACACCAAAGTAATCGTAAATTCCCTAGCAAGGTAAGTAGATAAAGGCATCCCTTTTTGAGGTGTCAAAGCTACCGCTATACAAGATGGCAGATAACAAACAACCAATGTTACCTGCACCCATAGTGCACTGTACACTGCCTTTCTGTATCGAGCTATGTTAAGTGGAATTGCTTGGCTAGGTTGTCCATGGGCAACATGGTTCTGAACATGAATTTGGTTCTGACGAAGAGAGAAGAAAATTTTTGTGTAAGAGAAGATTGTGGCGAGAAGACACAGAGCTATAACTATGTATTGATACCATGAAATTATAATAGCATTAAAAAAGATAGTAGATGCAACGACGATGGACAAAATCCAAAAACCAATTATAGTCATATATACTGTTTTTAAAAAAACAATTTGTTTGTATCTGAGCCCCAGCAACAAGGCGAGAAGTCTGTCCACGCTTATTGCAGTCATTGTCAATAAAGACACTTGGCACAACGTATGACTTGAGAAACTCACTGCCCAATATGCGAAATAGCAAATATTCCATCTTTCGTTCACAACAGAAATCCAATACGTCACAGCCAAAGGCCCTACAATGATACCAACACAGAGATCGGATATCGCCAGGTTACGAAACAAGACTTTGGAAGGCGGATGAAGTGAAGTTTCCTTGTGAAGAGCAACTAGGATCAGAGTGTTCCCCAAAAATGCTCCAATGGACAGAAAAATATTCAGTGCCGAAAGAAAGATAAGCTCGCCATCTACACCTCTGATTAATTCCGCCGAGCAGTACAGTTTAACGATGACTGTTTTCTGGTCAGTTTCATAGTCAGAAAAATTAATCATTGTCATATTCCTGAATCTGCACGGCACTGAGCGATGTGTTTATAGATCAGTACACTGTTTTCAAATACATAATAATATTTTTCTACCACCTCTTGTAAGTCAACTAATTACGCATCAGTCAATTCCAGCTGCGCTCAGCCCCCACCCCCGCGCTAACCCCCGGACATTAGCATTTTTTGCCTTGGATGTCAAATTCCCGGCGGTGGGGACTCTTGAGCAGTCAAATCCCCCGGGGTTGGGACGAAAAACGAGGGCAAATGCCCCGTCCTCCGTCAACACTGCAACATTTTTCATTGATCGCACAGTCGAGTAGTGCCATTTTAAGCCTTTTAATGTGCGATTTTTGGTTTCAATTAACGTCTTCCTTTGTAATATTATTCTAATTGAGTCACGCCGTGAAGACAGCAGTTTATGGTTTTCACATTACGTCATCGCCGCCATGCTGGTGGACGGATGCTGGTCCACCAGCATTTGTTGATTTCACCCTTGTTATTTGTGTCTCCCGAGATTGCGTGAAAACCACCAAATTGTCCTAATTATTGACATTAAAATTAATAGTGCGCTGTAAAGTTATGACAGTACTGCTATGAATAGTTTTCTAAATATGAAAGGATATTCTTCAAATAATATCAATAGAAACTTAATTCAATAACCAAAAAAGCGTTGAT